TATGGATTTATAGAGATTTATATACAGAATAGATGTAACATATCTCAAAAAAAAGATAAAAATCCATTCTTCAACAAACTACTACTGTGAGTGAGAAAGTGACTGACAATATGTTTCTTTGAATAACTTCTAATGACAGAGTACTAGTTTGTTACAGGAGTTGAGTTTCTAGTGGCATTGTCTTAATTGTTGAACTGCATGAATGTAGCATGAATCAGAAAAAGATCAGATATGTGTTAATAGGACATAAAATTTGGACAAAAATGAAAAAAGATTTTTAATGATTGTGTATTTTGCCTTTATGTAATAGGTTGATGTCTTCAGGTCAGAATGAAAGACCTCACACATGAAAGTGAAATGCATTGTCATTAAAAAGCTTTCCTACTTTGTCTCATTGAAAAAATAAATATATATATATATATGATATGATATGATGTAGTGTGTTGGATGGGACTTGATTTGTCAGGGAGCTAAGAAGTCCCCCCCACTTCCCCCTATAAGAAACAAGATACATCTTATCACTATGACATCCTGTGGTTAGCGATTTTCTAAGCATAGCTTAGATGTGGCACAAGGCTGAAAGTATGGGGCACCCAGTGAGTATTGAACTCACGACTCAGTTGCAATTGTTCTAGCAAGACAAGCTTGCTAACCATTACACCGCCTCAAGGTGCCTGACATCCTGTGGTTAAGGAGAGAGAGTATTTGCAGTTTCCTTTTATAGCACTTCATACAGCACCACCTAGTGGACATTAAGAGAAGATCTCTGGCAGATAAGAGGGAGTAATTCCACTTCAATCCAATCATAATGGAAGGAGATGCAATATGATTTAAATCAAATGGTACAAATAAATTTTTGATTTTCCATTTTTGCAGAGATGTTTAATTTCTTAATTACCCAGGTTAGGCTATCATGACTAAACATTATCAATTATTTTAAATTTTTGGCTTGTATTTCTTTCATCAGCTTAAACATCTTCATACACAATCAGATAATCAGGCATGACCCTACAATAGTCTTAACTCTTCTTGACTACACCTCTGAATTCTAGAAATAAAATTAGAAGGTTTAAAAAAAAAATAAAAGAATGTAAATCAGTATATTATTTTGCTTTCAGGATATTTATAAAAACTAACCCTTTACTTCTCTGACCCTTCATTTCTACTCCCAAATGATTATTTAGACACAGAAAAACCATATCTATCCCAACCCTAAAATATCCCATAAGTAATTTTTGTGTGTGATTAGGAATGTAAAGATTTACAAATATATTTATCATCATCATTGATGTGGTGATAGAATTAATCTAAATAAAATATTAAAACAGGAACAATGTGTTAAATGCATGGACACAGACATGCTTACACATACATACATGCATACATAGACAAAAGCGGAACCAAATGTAAGATATAAAATAAAGTAGTTTATTGTTAAGTGTTAAAATTGTGTGATGTGATATCTGAACCCTACACAGGTGCAGAAGTTTAGTATTTCAATATAAAAGTTGACAATAATAAAAACTGAAATCATTCAGATAACAAAACAGTTTGAAAATAATAAAATACAATTTACAGTAAATTGAAACTTGACAAAACTAAAAATATAGTAAGTGTCACCTTTCTGGTTACCAAATGCTGTAAAGCTTGAATGTGTGAGTGGTGTAATGGATAACAATTCAAAATTGTTAATCAGAGAGTAGAGTTCCATTTCCAGTCAGGTCCATTATATTCACTTATATGTAAATACCCTTGGGAAAGATAATGAATCCACCTCTTTTCCACCAGCTATGAGTTAATTAATAAAACTTGTATCCCTAAATCATTAAAAAAAAAAAATTCTTACAATGTAAAAATATTTTCTGGCTTTAAATAACCTGCAAAGGATTGATAAACCATAGAAAGCAAATCAATCAAACCTTTCTGCTATTTGTAGCTTGCATCAGAAAATTCTATAAAAATCTTTCAAACTTACTTCTATGTTCAGATACATAATTGAAAACGAAAAAGATTTATTCAATAAAAATAAGAACTTTCAAAATGTGTGTGTGTGTGTGTACACACACACACGCACACAGGTTTTGTTAAATTCGACTGACAAGATCAAGTTTCTGTGCAAGTACTTTTAATTGTCTCAGTCATTATCAAGAACTGAGTGTTGTCAGTATCATAAACAAGATTTCATTGGCTACATCATGGCCTTTTTAGAAATTAAAATTAGACACTGTCTTCTTTAGCTTGAGCCATTTTTCTGTTTTTATGGCATTTTTAATAGGAAATTCAGTTTTTGTTTTTGATACACATTTTTATCTGTGTATATAAACGAACATTTCAACTATAATGTGTGTGAAAAATAATAAAAATTCATAATACATAACATTATTAAATAAATTTAAAAATGCATAACATATATTTATCACTACACTAGAACTTTTTTTATATCAACAACTACTTGAAAGGTGAAGAGGCCAAGTGTCATATGACTTGATGGTAAATAAATAAATAGATGTATGCTGATTTGATGGCATTATGTATTTTGAAATAAATGTGAGGAAGAAACAAGTATATATAATAAAAAATATATACTTCTTATTTTGACAAAGACTACACCTTTTTGAAGGTATTATGCCAAATTCTCATGCAATGTGTTAACTATGAAGCCCAGTGAAACAATAAACCTTCTTTTATGTCTTTAAATACAAATTAAAATGCAGAATTAATAATAAAATTGATAATATTGTTATGTCATCATTTTGTATCATGAACTGCTTTTAAAAGAAACACAATGGGTTTATAGGCGGTCTAGTAAAATATAAATTAAAAGTTAAATTCTTTTTATTTAAAAAATACAAATGTTTAAACTTATATGTAATTTTCTTCAGTAACAAGGTACTTTCTGCAAATACTTTTTTCATTTAACTTTTGAGGCTTAAATAATTTTACACACTTGATATTTGGAATATTATATATTAATAGGAAAATGATTGAAATAATTTGAACATCAAATCAAAACAACAAAACCTTATATTTTTATTTCCTATATATAGCTAAATTTTGGCACAAGGCCACAAGTATAGGGCACCCAATGAGGAAAAAAAAATTTGTCTTTTCCTCAAATCTAGGAACTCTAGAATTGTTTATCAACATCTCATTGTCAGTATTTATATTCAACAGATTTTATAAATACCAAGCCTGTTGCTATTCTAATGTTCAGATGAAATCTATTCTTTACTTTGTCCAGTTCAGGCTATCATGATATGAACATGTGTTACTATGTGTATGGTGGCAAAACAAAGAAGAAACAATGAAAACTTAAAGAAATAAACCATTGTGATTAACATAAAATACAACAAATGAAAGATCAAGGTAGAATGTCTCTCATATGAAAAAAAGAGAAGTGGAGTTGTAAAAGGTGTCTGGTAAAGTATATGAAAGGAGAGGGAGGATGAGTTGTGACTTACTGGTGTAATGGTCCTTGATGAGCTGACCTAATCTGATGTCTTTGAAGATGGTTGGTTGTTTCTGATGAAGTGTGTGAACTCTGGCCAAGATGCTGTCCAACAGCCAAATGTCACTTTGATGGGCTTTCATGTCATTTTTTAGGCTCAAATTGGCTTCAGATTTTTTTGTTTCTTTAGCAGAGCATGTGCCATTGGGTGGAAATTCTGGATTATATTGCTTATTTTTTCTTTGAGTGTGTGAGTAAAACCAGAAGATATATGCAGAGCCTTGCACAACTGATGGAATCTTAGTTCAGTTTTGGATGTTCAGAGTGTTTACATCCAGCCAGTGGTGAAAATTAGTGTAGCATGAATCAGAAAAAGATCTGGTTTTAGGAAGAATGTAACAACGCCTTTACAATCAAGTCATACCATATCACATCCACAGTTGAATTACCATCATTTCTTCCATATTCCACATAAAAGTTCCATACAGACAGCTTTTTCCCAAGAAATGTTATTTAGTGGTACAGATTCCTGCATGGAGGCTTCCCTTAATACTACAAAGTTAACCACTTCAAATCAAGAATCAATTGTTATTTATCCTCATAATTCTCATTTCCTACCATCTCCTCTTCTATTCATATCACACATTTTATTTATTAATACTGTTTTAACAGTAATTCTCTAACTTGAGTGGTTTGTAATGAATGAACTTTAGTATATGAAAATAAAACTAACTGACTATATAGAGAGATAGTGTCTTTTACTCTAGCTTGAAATTGAAATGTTTCATATGTCATGATAAAATTCTATATAATATTGACAACATTTTCATGCATGGCATATGGACTGCCAATTTAGGTATCTGTAAGAAGTAGAATAAGATGAGGATGTTTTTATTGATTGTACACTTGTTGTAAGCTAGTTGCATGATTCAAAGGAATTATTTTTTATTTGCTACCCCTAAAAACTAAAAAAAAAACAGTGTATATTATTTATCTATAAAGATAAATAGGAGTTGAAAATATGAATTAAATCTAACAGAATGATTAAATAAAGAAGAAATAGGAAAATCTTTATAAAGTTAACATGTTTCACTACTTAGTTTCATCAGAAATTTTAGGAAGCAGAATAATATGGAGTTATGTTTTGACTTTTGAATTTTATGTTCATTTTTTTTCATTGGATATATAGATATCATGTTTATTTTATGGTATGAGTGTGTATGTATCTATCAAGTTTTGAATTCTTTACTTGATTTGATTCCGTTGGTTTTTTTGATTGATTCATTCATTTCCTATGGCTTATCAAACCATTGAAGGCGATTAAAAACATAAAATATTTTTAGATTGTAAAAAAATTTTTTTTTTTGAGATAATGATTTAGTGATACAAGTCTAACTAATTAACCCATAGCTGGGTGGATAAGAGGTGGGTTCATAGTTTCCCCAAGGGTATTTGCATGTAAGTGAATATAATGAATCAAACTGAAATTGGAATTCAGCTCTCTGGTTATCAATTTTGAGCCATTATCCATTATACCACCCACACATCCAAGCTTACAGCACCTAATATTCCTAAGCAGTCACCCATCTAAGTACTGACCAGGCTCAACATTGCTTAACTTCAGTGATTGTAGAGGAATCTGTGTTTCAATGTGATATGGCTGTAAGCATCAATTGGTTGTGTGGATGTCATACACAAATTATATATATTTGGAATATTTACATTTTATTTTATTCTACAAATTAAAAAAAATTATAAATGCCATACAAAAAATAGAACCAAAACCTCACTTTGTTTTTATCACAAAAATAATCTCATTAAATTCTTTTTAAAAAAAAAAAAGAATTTAAACTTTAGTTAATGAATAGTATACAAGTAGACATTCAAGAAATGTTAATGTACACAATCTTTTATTAAGGAAGGTCAGTTTTTAACAATGTTCATTAAAAGATAACCAGCTGTTGTGTTACTAATATGTTAAAGTATCAATTTTACTGCTCACATTTGAGACAATTATATGGTGGAAGGTTTAGGGATGAAATTTTGTGACCTTGTAAAAATATTCACCCACAAAGAAAAGGAAATAAACAGAAGAAAGCAACTAGAGTGTAAATCCAGAATTTTATAATCCAGAAATAGTTAAGGTATTTTACAAAAACCTTCATCATCAATGACACTGCCACCTCAGCAAACAGCAACTTGATAACATCACAACACCACCAAGCTACAAACCTTCCTTGCCAAATCCAACTCTGCAACTAAGTAACTCTGGCCCCACAACCAAGTGACTCCAACTCCACAAACAAGTGACTCTGCAAGCATGCAACCCACTTGACCCACCAACAGGATGCCAATTTTTATATCCGTAAGGGAGAATCAAAATCTCATTTCACACAGAAGTGCACTTTTTGAATACAAGGTTTTCATTAGTTAGAAAATAGTTTCACACTGGCTTGTGAAAATCTTTTTTCTCAAATTTGTGGGTGTGGTGAGGGGAGTTGTTATTTTCTAAGTGGTCCAAAAATAACATGTGGCAGGTCTACAACTATGTCCACCAAGTATTTGGACAGTATTTGCAGTTGTAATGATTGCTTATCAAACACAACCTTCTGATGGGATTTTATTGGTTGAAAAATATATATAGGATTTAATTCCTATAATAACATGCTGATCTTCACATTTTTTGCAATTATAATTTTATTAATTTTAAGAAAACTAATGAAAGTACTATTAATGTGAAGGTTATTCCCCATGAGATATATGAATTATCATAAACTTTTATGAAGTATGCAAAATATTTAAGAATTTTACTGGATTTTCCAATTTTCACATTATTAGCCAGGTTACTGAAATTCCAATAAACATTATGCAAAAACTTTATAAAAATAAATGTTTTCAACAAGTATCATTGTAATGATGACAAAATTATAAAGTCAACATCAATGTGAAATATATGCTCCATGTTTTAAAACTAGTTTTAGAAGTTAGTCATCCATTGCCTTTGAGCTGTTGTATTTTCTTCATATAAAAACAGGCTGCTCAGTACCCAGAATAGTATTCCAAAGTTCATCTTTACTAATAAATTGTTGTCAACCAATAGAAACATGCCTCTTCAGAATTCTCCACAAGTTTTCAATCAAGTTCAGATCATACAATCAAAGTGATCACTTCATCCAATGACTGCCTTTGAAAACTATTTCATTCATAAGTTTTCTTTGACAAATAGGATGGCTCACTGTTGTGCATAAAAATGATTATCTTTCTGAAAGGATTTGCATTTGTTATACCCTGTTGGAATCCAATTCTTTAACTCAAATGGAAGTGCTCACTTTGACATCAACTGCACATATGACAAAACAGACCTTAATTTCCTCCAGGCTCCATGCACCCATTTCCAGAAAACCATCCAGAATAACAGCCAATACTGACTTTACCAAATTTTTACAAATTCTGAAGTTATTAAACCTTCCTCTTTATCCATCAAACCAACCTTATAAGTCATTTTAAAGCTTCAAACTTCAAAATTTGTTTACATCTGTACAGGCCGATTTCCCTTTTAACTGCACAAATAGATGTTGTCATCATTCAGCAAATAAACATTTACATTCCAATAAATATTTACTTTGTATATTAATAAAACATAAAGTGATTAATAATGAGAGGTATGTATCTATACTTTTCCTTTTCATTATACTATAGCTTTTTTAAAAATGCATTAGAGCAGAAAAAACAGAACTTCAAACAGAAAAGAAATTTTTGTGCTTACTCACTTGATAATTTTTGAAAGAATATGATCATACTTCTCAGTTGCTGTTTAAATTAATGTTATATAAAACATAACAACTCTTTCATATTTCTAAAATATAATTTTATATTTGTTATTAGCATTCATCAGTTATAATTCGTTTTCTGTCATGTATTTAGACTATTGACACAATTGATAGTTGGAATAAGAAATAATTGTAACATGCTTACTCACTCTCACATCCTGTACACTCCTTTTTGGAGTATAGGGCCACAGTCTCATGACACTAGGCAGTGCTTTCTATAGAGATTAGGATTTTATGGGATGGTGTTGCCAACCAGTTTACTTGAATGTAGAGTTGTTTTTCACTTACTCGTTGCCAATTAAAACTAAAAAGCCCATTCTGTCCTACTATTTAACTTATAGCTGGAGAGAGAAGAGATTTATTTACACCTAACCCAAGAGTATTTGGTGAAAGTGAATATAAAAAACTCAACTGAAATTCAAATTTGATGATTTTCCATTTCAAACTGCTAACCATCACACCACCTGCACATCCATAATTGTAACATAATAACAGTAAAATTTCTCAAATGTTCAGCTTTTAAAGTTATTATATATATATATATATATATATATATATATATATATGTGTGTGTGCTTTTTCTGCAGATATTATTTTCTATAAATTAGTTGCCAAAATCTCAGATTGGATTAGTACCCATTAATTATAATAGATTTTCTTTCAAGAAAATAAGCATGTTTCTATTTCTACTTGAGAAGGACTTGCAGCTACACAGTGGTTAATTTGTAAAAAAGATCCTTGTCAGACACTAACCAGAGTGTGTTTTTCATAATGAGGCCACTAACAGCTAATGTTTCTATCAGTGCATTTTCAATGCACTGATCTTACAATTCTCTATAGTCAACTTTACATCAGGCTCATATACCAACCATCATTGCAAAAATATTAGTGGAACAATGTAGTATATGAACTAAGAGAGAAAAATACAGAGATCTGCTCAGAGTGGGCTAAATATCAAATTCAGCAGATGTTCAAGTATGGAGATAAGAATGGTAACAGAAGCCCTTTTGCCAAACTAGTTGAAATCAGGGATTTGTTTTCTGTCTTATCACTAAACTTCATCTTGGTCCATTTTACTTTAAATATAATATTAAGTAACTCGTTTTATATTTCAAGAAGTTTTTCAAAATTAATGTCTACTTCAATTAGGTCCACAAGGAATGCTAAGTTATCCTAAATGGCAAAACTATTTATTTTATACAAAAAAGATTTATGACTTAACTCATGAATCAAATGATCTATAATGACAAGTCTAGCAGCATCTGGTACCCCACACTTATCAAGCCAATGGAATTGAGGAAACATTCTTGAAGTGGTCTGCATTTACTTTATATCCTTTCTTTTTACATTTTAATAACACACTTTCTTATTGGATAGAACATGGCAGGGTAGGAAAAAATTTAGAATTTTTTTCTCCTTTCTTTCTTATATATTTATTTTAGCTTTCTTGATTTTATAACAAATCATTATTAAATCTACTTACACTCCTGGAAAAGTGGCATCTGATGCTCATTGTAAACAAACGTTTTGCACAAGTAGTTCTACATTAATGATCAAAAGGCAATGTGAAGCAAATGTTAGCTTTATAGCACATATGAAGATAGACTGGAGAAAATTTAGACTTAAAACAGCAATGTATAATACATTTTAATAGATATTTTACAAGATATTGGTTATGTTTAATGAACAGTTTATAGAAAAAGAATGTTCTGAAGCAGGCTATAATAATACCTGGATTAATTTAAAGATTTTTAGAATTAATCAATTAAACTTTAATATAACTCAGCCACGCAATATTTTTTGCTGTTTTCAATGAGGTTCCATGTTGCACTCACCAATGATATAGAGTTAAAAAAATAAATAATTTACAGGTAATATTGAAAAATATAAGTTGAAAGCAATCTGTTTCTTTTTTAATTGTTTCACCTCAAGCAAGAGGATAATGTCACTAAGATGCAAGGGGATACTGAGTGTGAAAGAAAATGTGAAGACTTTAGTGGAGAGAAAGGGCAATAAAAGAACAGGAATTAAGAAAACAGAAGATTGTTAATGAAATTACATTTAAAGTTTTGAAGATTTTAGGTGGCATGGGGAAACAAGAAGCCAGAAGAGAGTTGCACAGGTAAGTGTGAGAAAAACTATTAGAATAGAACTTACTGTTACATTGAGCGATTTCAACAGTAGTTGCCACTCTAGTAGTACACATGGAACAACTGCCATGAAAATATTTATAGAAAAGGCACAGAGAAGCCATATTACAATGGTGGGAATGTGACTAAAGTTGAGATGCCAGGTTAGGACCAATAACAGTATAGATCCTTTGGATTTTGTTGAGAATATTGAGATATATAGCAGGAGCACCACACAAGATATGGTAGCAATATTCAATGCATGGACAAATGGTAGATTTTTAAATGTGTAAGATGGATTCTGATGAGAAAAGTGTCTGGCATGATACAGTGACCCAGTCCAAGGATATAGCCCTGGGAGACCTCTGCATTGATGCAAAATGATCTAGAAGCATGTTTGTTTTACCAAGAAGATAAAATTTTGTAAAGCTATTTCAATGAAAGATTACTTAGAGCAATATGATTTGTTAAATGAGATCTGTTCTTGTGTTAAAGCTTTAACTAAGTGAGGTTAAAAAGTAATGTCAGATGAGGAAGGAAAATGACTACATAATCTTCTTGGCTTGATCAGGAAGCCCCTTCAAATAATTCTATTTGGTCAGTAGTAGATTAGGACAACTTCTCAGCCCCATCAAATATGCTGTTTTATAAAAATTAACATAAATATTAATCCTAACTCAAAATATAATTGATGATAAATTGCTGAAAAATCTCTTGACCTGCCCAAGAACAAGAAGTCTTTAAAAAAAAAAAAACCAACAACAAAACACTACCACCACTAAAAACGCTTGATCAGATTTTGGGAAGTGGGTCTGGCCAAGAACTTTTCAGATTGCCTTTGCATATTACTTACTTTAAGGCAACCCTTACCTTTCTTGTCAGTCAATTGAGTGCCATATGTGATGTATGCTTGTATTTCTTTCAATTACTGACTAGACATTTTAACCCCCACAGTAGGATGCCATTTCTTTGTGGTAGACTGGACCCAGTCTGTCCTGCTATTAAACTCATAGCTGGGGGGGGGGGGAGAGATGGATTCATACCTTTCCCAAAGGTATTTGTGCATGTGAACATAAATGAACCCAACTGGAATTTGAACTCTGCTCTCAGATTTCTCATTCTATTACACCATAATGTTTGTAAGTGACTGAAAAATTGTCAATGGACATATGGTGCTATCATAGAGCAAAATAAATACAGCTTGAAAGAATTCTTATTTCATTGATTAAAGCAGATTTCCAGTCTATTGATAGCTTGTTCATTTCAGCCCATGCTTTGCCAATAAGAATGTTCACATCACTTTGAGTGGTAGAGATGTTACTTTCAAGATAGATGAAATGATGGAGTCTTGTAATATGCAATAGCAATAGGGAGGTTCAAATCCAACAAATCACAAGTTGAAAGTTATAATTCCAAGAGTTAAAAGATCAATCTTGCAAATCCAACGTCATAAAATGCCAGGGGGTGTAAGTCAAAAAGGTAAACAATTCACATCACAATTCACAATGCATAACTACCTCTTTACCAATGAACAGTCAAGTGTTCTTTTATTGGAGTTTCTTACTCCAATAAAAGAACACTACTTTGGATGTGAACACTAAATAAAAGAACACTACTTTGGTTGTGATTAGTCAAAACTGGTAGGGAAGTGCACACAATTACCATATCTCAAAGCCAACTAAAGTCACCTCGATCTTGATTTTCTTTTTCAACAGATAGCACAAAGGACATAAATTCTTTTCTGAGGTAAGACTTAGTTTTCGCCTTTGTCACCACATAACTAAAGCACATGAACCATTTTGTCTACATTTATATAAAGACCAACTTCTCTTGCAACTTTCTGAAAACTGCAATTGTTATTCAGCCTGTGTAATTTTATCTACAGAGTGCTAAGTTGTTGGCATAATCTTCATCAATGATGGTTTCTACTAGATTTCTTTTGCTTCTAGCTTCTTTGAATGCAAGTATTTTTCTTTATTTTCTTCACAATACATAACTGAGATGTGTCTCCTTGCAAATACTCCAGCAACAATGTAAAAATATCTCGTGTCTCCATCAGGATTGTACTGTGACTTTTGTGTACAGTATAATTATAGCAGTGAGTTACTTGGAATGTTACAAGCCAGTACTGTCTGCTTCATTTTGCCTCTATGTATTGAGCCAAAAGCCTTGAAAAATCCAAAAAGGCTTCCAATCAGCTGTAGAATAGCAGTCAATGAAGTGAGTGGAAGAAAAAGCACTTCTAAATCAAAGTTGAAAGCTGCAGAATTTTGAAAATCTCAAGAAGTCATCTGAAATTACAAATGAGCCATTATCATCAGTTACAAACCAAATGTAGAGAATTCTCAGAAAATAAACTAAATTCTTCTCTGAAGTCTGCCAAAAACAGCAAGACTTGATGAAATCAAACCAGAACTAGACAAATAGAAAATTCAATGATATACTGCTTTATGCATACATATAAAGCATTTTGACTTTGAACTTTTAGCAAGTATGAAAAATTGGTTTCCACTTGATCTGAAAAATTAACTAATGTACTGTATAGATTGTATTTATTTACATCCCACAAACGTCAGTCTGCACCAATTCCCAGCCAGCAGGAGTTACCACAGATGACTGACAGCTACTACTATTCTTGGCCCTTTTCTAATCCAAATAACACACCATGACAATAAGTAACCAACAAAATAAAACCAAGCCAGCTTGACAAAAATCACCTAAACCCCTCACCCTTTTTTTCTCCAACATTCGTGGTATTCATACCAACTTCTGCAGTGAGGAATTGTTCCTCCTCAAACATTCTCTGGATATTCTAGCTCTCTGTGAAACTAATCTTAATTCAACCCTCTTCTCTGAATTCTTGACTCATGGTTATCTTCCTCTCTTTAGGAAAGACTCTAGTGTCCACATGCATGGCCTGGGAGATTATGTTCTGGAACATCTCCAACTGACTAGGGAACTCTCTCGGGTCTCCAGACCATTCTTATATGTGCCTGTCTTTCTCTAATGAACTCGGCTATCTCTTCTTTCTCTACTGTTTCCTCTCATGACTTTCATGTGAGGTAGTATTTCTGATAAAGCCAGCTTTCTACACCCTTTTGCAAATATCTTTGTGTTTGTTGACTTCAATGCTAACCATGCCAGATGACTTAATCACTATCACAGATCTCATTGGCATCCAAACCCTGAACGTGGTCGACTTCCCCACATTTCCCCAGTAATCCTGATGGACACACTTCTCTCCTTGATCTCTTCTTTACCTCAACTGCCAACTCATGTCGTATTCTGCAGCTCTGCCCTCTCGAGAATTCTGATCATGCAGTAATGCCTGTAAACATCTCTTTCTGCTTTCCCATTAACCAAGAACCTCCAACCAACATATCTGTTATCAATGTTCTGATTAGGACTCATTCCAGGACTTCCTTTGAAATTGTTAATCATCCTATTTAAAAATGTGGCTCTGAGGTCTCCTCCTGGGTGAAGATTTTATACCAGCATAGAAAAACCAAGTGAAACCACAATCATCTAGATTCTCACCTGCATGCTTGGCTGCTATAGCACACAGGAATAACTTATTCTGGCTATACCAGAGCAACAGATGTCTGCTTATAATGAGTGCAAGCAAGTCCTCAAAGAAGTGAAGTTACTATTTGCTGATAGAATGAAAGTGTGTAGCCTCTAACAAGTTCAGTTCTAGAGATTATTGGCAGTTCTGCAAGAATGTGCTGAGCAACAGCAAATCATCAATCCCTCCTCTCTTCAATCAATTTGAAGTCCTAAAATCTACAGCAGATAAGGTTGAAGGTTTAGCTTGGAAGTTATCTTCCAACTCATCTGGAGTACTCATACCTGATTTCCTCATGAGAATGGAATGAGTGACATGTGTATAACCACATCACTGGTTTCATACATCATTTCCAAACAAGAATCCCATATGTGAAGGGATGCCAGCCATTGTACTAAAGAAATGTGCTCCTGAGTTGACACCAGTTCTCTCCAAACTCTTGTTGCTTCCAAACTTGTTAGAAATCCTTATCTGTAGTTCCTGTTTTTAAAAATTCTGGCTCCTCAAATTATTACTTTATTAGTCTCTTACTGCTTTTTGGCAAAGTATTAGAGGCTCTAATCAATGCTGAAGTGGTTAAGTATCTATTTCTTACAAACAATATGGCTTCCATTTTGCCAGGTTTACCACTTATGTGTTAATGTCCATCACTAAATTTGTACATAAAACTAGATAAGAATTCTGTCTTCTTGAATTCCATTCATTTTTTTTCTTTTCCTCAATCTTCCTTATTCTGTTTTCTCTTTCACTCATGTGACCCTCTGCATACTAGTGGCATTCCTGCCTTGTGTAGGATGACGACAAAAAAAAAAAAAAAAAAATTGTTTGCATAGCATAAGATAGCTACTTCTTTTTAGGTATTGTCATTCATTAATTCAAACCTTCCTGTTATCATTCTGTAAGACAAGACATTTTTCCTCTAGTTTTAGACTTGATACACGGGCTGAATTTGACCAAGAATTAGAATGATTATGCTTGTTAATTCTCTGGCCAAGTCATTACTCCAGCAAGTATGTTTTTTTTTCCTTGTACAAAATATCACATCAAAAACTTATTTGAGAAACTATAAATTTTATTTAAAAGAAAATAAAAACAAAAAAATATTAAAACTTTGTACAAATTTATTAAAAATGCTAAATTCGTTTTACTCGAGCATTTTGATAAATAGCTTTGGCCGCCACTTTGCGTCCAACTGGAGTAGATAAATCACATATACAAAGAATCTGTTGATTTGTTAAACATCCCGGTAAACATTTGAGAAGTTGAGTTACCTGAAAATAAACAAGAAATTCTGTTAATATTTGTTCCACAAGTTAGATTTTACAAGAGCTAGGAAACAAAAATAAAAATTTATTTTATTTTGGTAAAATTATAACCATACCTTTTTAAAGTTTATAACATTATATTTTCTTCATTCAATTAAATGTATTCAGTTACCTTCAACAAATTTTTATTCTGAATAATAGAAGATATTATATATTTAATAATTTACTTAATGAAGAGAGAGCTTTTATTTGCTCATTTATTTCAGAGAGAACCCAATATTGTCAATCTACAAATGTTTTCTAGTCAAGAAAAAAAAAAAAAGAAAATAAAGAAAATGACCACATTAATATCCAAATGGATTATGTAGTACTAAGCAAAATTTATTTTTTTTTTTATTAATGAAATATATCATTAAAAAAAAATTAAAAAAAATGTGATTTTGAGAATAATTTTAGATAGACCAATTGGTTTTCTTTTATGTATTCTAGGGCCTCTGCATGTTTCTAGGTTACAAAATAATTTGGGTAATACTTTCACAAAATTTACAAGGAGATATATCTTTAAAAAATGTAAGGCTTAATATACTTTCACACACTGTTTTATTATAATTTTTTTTAATTTATAATCTTTTTGTAAGATTTCAACCGAGATCGTTTTTCTTTCTCCATAGAAAATTTTAATTTTTAGGGAAATTTTTTTTATATAAAAAAATTACCATTCCCGGAGGCATAAATTGAAGGATGAGCCGTGAATGTTGCCGTCCACACAATACAGCTTCTTGAATAAAAGAGGCGACAAAACCTGTACGAGGACTTATAGTGCTGCTGTGGAGAAGGGAATTCATCATCCGCATCAAATTTACTGGAAAACATTTTTAGTTCATTACAAAGAGAAAAGTGGAAACTGATCAAATAAACTGACAGTCAAAACAACACATACCCAAATAAGAAAACGCTTAATTCAAGTACTTTATTGATAAGAAATAAATGACCTATGAAGGGAAATCATATATCAATGCCTATTTTTATGCAATCAGCTTTACTTTTTTTCTAATGTATATTTGTTTGTTATATTTGGTCATTTAAGAGTCACAAAATTTGATTTTATCACTTTTCTAAAAATGACAATGTTAATGCAAAATGCACAATTCATCCATCTATTTTAGTTCTTATTTTCTAATTAACACACAAATTATGCTATTTGTTAAAGACGGACAAAAACATAGTACACTGTATCCTGGGATTATGGATAGGTGGTTGATAAACCAATATTTAATTTGCAAAGGGTGAGTCATGATTAGCAGTAATCCTAGAGGTTCCCTGATAAATACTGTATTACATCATGTGTGTGTGTGTGTGTGTATATATATATATATATATATATATATATATATATATATATATATATATATATATAAGCTTGAAAACAGCTCAGGATTAGAAAAGTGAGAATGAATAATGAAAAATGGCATCAATAGTTAAACTACAGCAAAGAATAATTTAACACTTAAAAAGCACAAACTGCCAAAGTATTTATAGAAATAAAACAAAATTTGTTAAAATGTTTCCCCTAGATCAACTTTAATGCGTTTAATGACTTCAATTTACTTACAGACAGCTCGATTTAAAGGATCTTTTGTATCATAAGGAGGAGATGGTTCACCTTCTTCTTTTGCAGTGATGAAATCTGAAAGAAAAATTGTATTAGGTCATTAAAAAGACAAGTTGTCTGAAGAGAAAAAGAGAAAGGTCAAAACAACACATACCCAAATTAAATCCTTCTGAATCTAATGTTATCTGAGGTTCATGCACTTTACGCATCTTGCTTGGGCGATTCTCATCTTCTGGCTCCTGCAGAGATGAAAAAAAAGAAAAATTAAAAAAACAGATGAACAGTTGAAGACAATTTTCTGGATGTTTCATTGGAAGATTCATGCCAACATTAGTTACCATAAACCATAATTCAGTGCATGAAAAAAATTTTTTTTTTTTTTAATCCAAAATTAGCACAAAAAAAAAAAAAAAAAAAAAAACTCTACAGGCTTGAATTATTTTGGCCTTTTTTTCTTTTTAAATCTTATAAAAATTAAGTGGCGTGTCATACTAAATGTAAAACTAGTATAATTCATTTTTGTGCTAAGTAAAGATCAAAATTTTATAGCCAAATTATTTAGTTCAGAATATATAAATAAATAAAAAGGAGACTTTTTTTTAAAATTCATATTTATCAGGATGTGAGTGATCGAGGTGCTCTACAGCTTCCCTTTGTGTGCAAATTGCTGTGATTTTTTTTTGGAGGAGGGGGGGGTGGAGGGAAAAAGAAGAATGTCTATTTGTTGATGACTACACCTTGGTTTTAAATTCAAAGTGATCCTTCTCCTCAACTGGCTACCACCCAAGGTTTAGAAGCCAGTCTACGGTCCTTATTTAACTCATAGATGGGAGTGGGAAGACATGGATCATTGTCTTTCCCAGGCAGGAAAATTAACACAAGACTAAACCAAAATTTGAACTTGGGTCAACAATTCCAATGTCCATGTTTATAACCATTATGTCACTCACACATTTTCTTCTTACAAAAAAGATAAAAATTTAGCATGTAGAGCTTTTAAGTATAGAAAATAAGCCGATTCTGCTACTTTGGTTTCAAGCCTCAGTATTTACTTTAAAAAGAAAAAGTTCATGAAAGCTATATATTATATATATATATATATATAAGTGCATGCTGTTCGGTGTGGTGGGTGAGGAGGATTGCAGATTTGCATGAAACTTGAGTCATGCTATCAACATGGGATATTATGTATATTCACTATATATATATATATATTATACACACACACACAAGAAAAAAAAATCATTAGACAAAATTAAGTTTAATTTTGTAAAAATTTATGCTATTTTTTAGTATTTCAACAAAAATAGTTTTCAAATCAGAGCACAAGTTAGAAGATTAATCTTGTAGAGCACCTGCTAGTTTAGTGGGTGCCCTGTTCTTACAGCACTGTGCCAGAATAATTAAAAGCTTCATAAATAACTATACAGTTTAAAACCCAATGAAATATTAAAGAATAAATAAAATTCACTTTTTACCTCCCAATCAACTTCGTGCAAAGGTCGTTTACGTCCTCTTTTTGTAAACTGGAATGAATCAGCAGCTGGAAAAGAAAAAAAAAAGTATAATAGAATTTAACTTTACAAAGAAAACATTTAATTAGGCTCAAAATAAATCCAATAAAATATATTCATTTATCAATAATGTATACACAATCTGCACATAATGTCTACATTTATTCACATTATAACCTGTTTGTGTATGTGAGTGCATGTTTATATTCTTGCATGAGGAGTTAAAGAACATTTAACAAATTCAGCTTTTTGTTGTTCAGATATACTAAATGATATGTTTAATGTCAAGTAACATGAATAATATATCCAAAGAATCTGAAATCATAATGCAAAATACCTTTACTATTCAATCTTGCTGTCTGGGCTCCAACAATACACATGACACAGAGTTTTGCAAGTATAGATCCTCGTGGATTGATCAACATATGCATTTTGTGAGGTGATCTAAGGATGTTTGGTAATGTGTGAATAAGTAAACTTAAAGTTATATTTTCTAGATCCATATGACACAGGGCGAATGATATACTCAATGACAAAGACAGGTCTTCAAGCCGATTACTAGTAAGCATCATCTTTAAGAAAAAACAAAAAGGCAACATTACAGGGTATTTCACAAGATTTTATTATGCAAAGCAAAAAACAAGAAATAATGGAGATATATGCCTAATCAATTTGATTCTAAGCGAATTTGTCTTTAAGCAAAATTTTAATTAATTTCACATATAAATTTTTATTTTATTTATTTTTGCTTATATTTATTTATTGAATTGTCTTCAGAGTAGAATAATGCAAAAACAATTTAATTTATTGTTACTCAAAATAAACTAAAGCAAAATTATATTAAAACAATTATCTTAATGAAACATGCTTTAGTGAAAGATTGCTGAAATATTTATGTATATGAAACTATACACAAATACATGAAAAAAGAATCAGATCCAATGGTCATTAAATAATGACCATTATTCAAAATATTTTTCAATTTTAATTAGCTTGTTTTTCAATTTTTCGCACCAATCTTGAAATCAATGTGAAATTAACAATTATTATGTATAAAAATTTATCAGAAATAGTTAATGCTTATTATGGTAACTTATTTTGGACAAAATATAATAGTTAAAGATAGATACCACTTTAAATTCAAACTTAGGTCAATTTTTTTCCATAAATAGTTTGGTTAAAAATCCTTTCCATCCACTAAAACTTGTAAAATTTTGTTTTTAACTATTTCATAGTTTCTTTCATTGAAAGCAAAACATGTGATGCAAACTTTTTAACTTCTTTAAATTTTCAAATTTTTTGAACTGTAAAACAAGTATAAATAAAAATAAGCCATTTACTGTCTATATACATATTGTAACAAATATCAGGTGTTATTCAAGGATTGATTAAAGTTAAAAAAAGAAAATCTTACTGCAACAATCCTATCAGTAAACCAATCTGAACCACACAGATTCAGCAGTTGTTCAAGGGCATGTAAACTGCGTAAATCTACCCATCCTTTGTCAAATATTGCTTGTGTGGTTTTGTCCATCACTTCACCAGGTAAAGCTTTTGGTGGAATGTACTGTTGAGCTGTAGAGCGACTTGATGCAGGCAATATGTCATTGCTCATCTTACACAGAATTATACTCATTAAATGAGATCTGAAAGTTAATTAATAAAAGCTCATAAGGATATCAAATTCAACAAATATATTGTACATCAAACAAAATAATTACTTTCCATCATAAGAAATTATATTTAAGCTTTTTAATTAGAGTTTAAAATGTTTTTATAGTTTTCTCAGGTTAAGACTTAAAAACAAATGTTGATTTAAAAATTGTTTTGGTTCACAAACTATACAAATCTTTTTATATGGAATATCATTAAATGAACTTTTTCTAGTTTTGAGATATAAAAACATTCAAAGTGTAGCCATAACTAAATAACTGGAACAACTGAATTCATTTGAAAATATATGGGATCTGTTCATTTTTTTTGTTTAATCAATTTCCTCATAGTGCAAGAATTATATGATAATCATTTTTTTACTCTATATACCTGTGCGAATTATTGAAAAATTGGTCATCTGTGAAAAACAGTTAACAGTAGTCATGATTTTGCCATATATAATGTTAAACTTTCAAGAGCCTTATATGACTGAATATTTACAAATTCATTCGATTGGACTTTTGCAGAATTTTTTGTGTAGTTCAAAATATCAATACAAATGCATATTGTTATGAAATACATAGGAAGAGTGCCTGTTTCTGAGGTAATTAAAAATACTTGTTCCAGACTAACAATTAACTAACCACTTTTGCTACAGTACTTGCTGAGTAGATTGTATCTTTTGGCAGAGTTTCTAATTTTAAGAAAGACAAGTAGACAAGAAATGCATTGCTATTCTTTTGTAAAAGACAACAGAAAAAACTGAAATGCCTTGTTTTGGAAAACTCAAAACAATAAAATGGAAAATAATCAAACATTTATTATATTCAATTTGACTTAATGCTCTTGTAACTGTTATTTAAACCTTACATTTTATTGTAATTTTTTAAACAGTATAACAGTTTCTTTTCTGTCCAATTCTTTATAAGGAATGACTTCCCACTAATTATCAATCTGTTCACCAACTAGAGGAAGGTAGGAGTAGTATTATATGGAACCAAGAATAGCTTGTCCATACACAATGAGAGGGTGTCAGAAGTAGCAGTTGAATGTTATGGGCCAAGGAATAAAAGAGCTGGAAACTGGAGTTTGGAAAAGCCTCACTTCCATGGCACAAGATCAGAAGTGTTGGAATTGGCATATTATACACATGGAATGAAGAATTTTTTTTATATTTATGATACTGGATGGGAAGATTTAAAAATAAAATAAACTAAAAATAATAATAAAGAGGGCTGACATTTTACATTGCCATCCATGACTGAAAGAGATTTATCTCTTCCAGTCACTTACCATACTCCATCCTGCTATATAAAAACCACATGAAAGCCAGCTTCGTAATCTTGTTTTCTGTCAATTTCTTCAAGTTGATACATTTATTTAATTCGTATTGGTTTGCTTCTATAAAGTTTTTTTTTTTTTACCTCAACATCTCAAGTTATAGATTACACATTTAGTCAGTTAACACAGCAACCTAAAATTTTTCAAATGATTATTCCCTATCATCATTTTGAGTCTCAGTTCTAAAATATATGCCCATGAGACTTCAGAGATGCTTTCTTTCCACAAGATTTGTTTAATCAAAGAGATTTATTTTATATATATCTAACATAAAGGCTAGAAAAATTACTTCAAAATATCACACTAATTGATAGAACGGTTTCAGCTTAAAATTGATATACTTATAAAACTGATAAACTCACGAAAAGCTTTCAATACTCCTGTCCTTTAAACTGCTTCATTTCTTTTAGCCACAAAGAAAAAAAGAAAAAAAAGAAAGATATCCAACATACCGTTCATGGTAATTTTCAGATGGGTACTGTCCCTGAGATTCAGGATTTATTCTTATTAATTGTTCTAACATGTTTAGAGGCTTAGACCGTGCTTCTTCACCAACTGTGTTCATATAACTACAAAGCCAAGCTGATACGACTACAGGCAAGCAACACATCTTTTTCTTTACACAGTCCAAAATTGTCTAAAAAAAAAAAAAAAAAAAAAAAAAAAAATTTTTTACATTAAATCACAATTATAATTTAAGAATCCGAGAAACTTCAATAGTACAAATATATTTAGAAAATTTATTTTAATGTTTAATTTTAGATATTTTAATAAATATGCTAATAGTTTTTAAATAAATCATTATTGTAAATTTATTTCAAACTGAAAAATTATCAGGAAATGAAAAACAAGAATCAATTTTAATAAGTTATATAAGATGAAAACTAAAATACATTTTGATCAATTTCAAAATATTACATTAACATAAAAGATTACAGAAATAGATAAAAACTTAACTAAGAGAAATAATAAATGATGCTAAGTAATTAAATTGTCAGGATGTCAAAAATTACTCAACAGAAAAGGAATAAAATATCTTAAGTAAACTTACTTTAACATTGTCAGCTGAAAGAGCCCCATGTTCCCAAGCAAAGAGAACTTCTTGCATGGCAAATGGAGCATTCATGCAGACTTCATGCCAACGTGCCATGCTATCAAGAGAATAATAGCTGCAGACCATATATCAAAAGCATCAAACACAAATTATATTTTTTGAAAATAAGAAATAACTCAAGTAAAACTAGGAGCTCAAAAGAATCAATGCTAAGGTTTAATTATTCTAATTTCACAATAAATCTTCAATGATTAATGTAGTGAAAAGTATATTCTGTTAAGATATGGAAATAATAAATTATGGAAAAAAATGTTTTATTAGATAAAACAATGAAAATTTTAATTACAGGTAATATGGTATATTTGATCTAAATTTTTTCTTTCTTGCTGTATCTTGATAATTACAGCTTGAATTATTCTAATTGTGCAAGTTTGGGTTATAGAAAATTAAGGTAACAAAACTTATGAAATAGAAAAAATATTTTTCAGTTTAATACCTGTTTTTATGTTCCCCACCATTTGTGAATTGGTTGAGGAGAAGATCCACCTTGTGTTGGTCACTTGGACTACTGTTATCAATACATTTGTATTTGCCATCTTCTGGCAAACATTTCAGTGCCCATTGAGCAAAGAAAGATTCAGAGCAATCAGGACTTGATGTTATAATCTTTGAAAGAAATTAAAACTGTTACTGAAGAATATTAAAAAAATTATTTAGTAACAAAATATAAATATTACTATTTTGTAGTGATATGTAAATTAAGTACTGTATAAAAGGTAGTATCATCATACCTACGGGAGAGTTATCTTCTCTTGACGAGACTACACCTGTCAGAGAGAATACCTGTCATAACAATATGGCATTGCCAATTGGTTACTTGGCCACGATGGAGGACCCTGAATATATGGAAACTTGGCTTAGGTGTTTTGCAGCATGGAGAGAGAGAAAAAGCTAAAAGATACCAAAACTAGTGGAGGAGAAAATGAAGTTATGGATTTGTTTTTGGTCTCAGCCAGGTGTGAGGCCATAAAAAAAAAACTGTCATGACCTATCTCAAAGTGTTGGAAAATTTAGCATATGAAGAAATTGCTGCCATCATAAAAGCAAATGTATGACCAAAAAAAGATTGGTCATAGCAGAAAGAACTAAATTTCTCAAAAGTAGACAGAGACCAGACAAAACTATTATGCAATATGTACAGCAACTGAAAGAAGTGTTACGGTATTGCGAGTTTGAAAGAATTGGTTCAGAACAAATGTCCATCAAAGACAAGCTAATTGTCTTAAGATTGATTGAAGGAATGTTTAACATCTCATACAAGCATAAGATTCTAAAGACTTCAAGTTCATAATATAAATCTGGAAGCATGTGTGGAGTTCTTACAGCAATAGGAATTGATTGCCTCCAAAGGCAGCATGGAGACTTACAGTGCTACTAAAAGCTAACTTATATGCAGATATTACAATAAGGAACATGAAATAGCAAAAATAAGTGTCCAGCCTTGTGTTTTCAATTGAAACAGTTCGATGAGTCAATCAGGAAAATTTTAGGATGCTTTGATGACAGGTTTGAGACAAAAAATAGATTTGAGATAATACCCATCATAGTGGTAGAAAACATCAAAAGCCATGGTCTTTTAAGAATTAATGTTTTAAAAGTGGATACATCGAAGCTGCTAATTCCATGAATTCAGTAGAACTGGACATTGGATTATTAAGGGGATACAAGGCAAGTATTCAGCTTAAAGAAAGCAGTCAACCCATGTATTTTCAAGACTGAAAAGTTCCTGTTCACATGCTACCCTTGGTTGTTGCTAAACTGAACAAAATGGTGGAGCAAGGAATATTAGAAAAAGTCAGCCAGGGTGGTAGCAATTGGGCTTCATCCATTGTAGCGATATGCAAGCTCAATAGAGATTTAAGAATTTGTAGAGATTATAAGGTGGGTGTGACTCACCAGATCTGTTCGGATTCATTCGTGTTGCCAAACATTGAGAAAACATGCTATGAATTTGGTGGTATGAAATACTTTGCTAAAGTTGACCTTGAGTCAACATATAATCAGATAAAAATTGATAGCAAGTTTCAAGAAGTCATCACAATGAACACCCCTATTGGATTACTAAGATCGACCTGTCTGCCATTTGGAGTAAAAACGTAGTCAAATTTTTCTAAAAGTCATTGAAAATTTTTTTTTTAGAGAGGATTAAAAATACAATTGTATATCAGGATGACATTAGCATTGGTGCCTGCAGTAAAGAGCTCAAAGTAAAATGGAGCAAGTTTTGAGGAAATTAAATAGCACAAATATGACAATTGCACTAAATGAGAGTTTAATTATGAAGAGATTTTGTACCTAGGATATCAAATATCCAAAGACTATATCGCCGGATGATAAACCCATTAATAAGATATCAGCGATAGATGCACCCAGACAAAAAAAAAAAAAAAAAAAAAAAAAAAAAAAGAGTTAGTCCTTTTTAGGATTAACCAATTACTATAACATATCTACCAAGATATAGTGACCATGTAGAGCCATTTAACAAAATAAGGAAGAATATAGAGTTTCAGGAGGCAAAAAGACAGGAAATTGCTTTCAAGAAATTTAAAAAAAAGACTTATATGTAAACAAACCAGTTGTTAAAATCTTCAACCCAGCAAAAGAACTGATGTTAATTATGGATGCCAGTGACTGTGCTATAGCCACAATATAACCACAGGAGGATCACCCTGTAATGTACTTATCTAGAAAACTAACATCGGTGGAGGTGAATTATTCAAATATTGAAAAGGAGGCATTGGTGATTATGTGGGGCATGGAAAGAGCTAGATAATTTTTACTTGGATGGAAATTTCTATTAAAATCTCATCATAAACCTTTACAATTTATATTCAACCCCAGAAGAGAGTTGCCAAATGTCTCTTCTGTCAAGATATTAAGATGGGCTTATGGTGTTTGACATCGACATCATATATATTAAAGGAAATATTATTCCACATGTGGATGCATTATTTTGGTTAAATTTTTTGAAAGTAAAAATGTTGAAGTAAGTAAAAATTGTGAGGATAGGATTTTGCACTGGATAGAAACACACGTATTACCCTTAAATCGGCTTAGGTTGGGAACTAGGCAGGATCCAGTGTTGAATTATGGAGAGAATAAAGAGGAATACATTGAGTAATTGCTCTATGGCTGAGAGGCTGTATAAAGAGTCAAGGCACACATTAACAATAGAAAAAGGAATTATATGTAATGGAAATATTATAGTACCTCCACAGTCTCCAAGAAAAGAAGTGATTAAATCTGTGCACAATGATATACATGGAGGTATATTGGCTACACAAATGGGGTCAAAGTTGCAAGCATAATGGCCAGGCTATACGAGAGACATGAAAGAGCATGTTAAAAATGACCAAAGTGTGTAGAAATCCACTAAATTTCACTCATGGCCAAAGGAAATGGAACCATGGACACAAGTACATATGGATCATGCCTACATTACAGATATTAGTTGACTTGTATTCAGGTTGGTCTGAAGTTATTAAAGCCACTACTGTGAAGCAGGTATTCAGGAGTGTTTTTGAGAAATGGTGTGCCAAAAACCTCTTTTTCTGACAATGAACCTGAATTATGTGAAGAAAGTTTAAATTCATGGTTAAAACTTATTGGCTGCATTCCATATAAAACACCACCTTTTCACCCACAGTCAATTGAAATTGCAGAGAAAATGGTTCAAACAGTAAAAATGAGATTAAAAGCATTCTCTCCAGTGGATTGAGATATAGAGAGTTATTCACCCAAACTATTCCTAGAGCTAGTCCGCATGCATGCAGAAGACAAAGCCCATCCGCATTGACAGGAAGACAAATAAGAACTCTGAAATATGAACCATGTCATTTGCAATAAATTAAAGTGTGTGGTACAGAAGGGGCAAGGACTCAAATCCTGAAAAGGCGAATTTTGTGGTGCAAAAGGAATTTAACACAGCAGTGTTAACAAAGAACGGACAGGACATACTGGTTCATGAAGTCCAATTTAGAACCATGGAGTTATGGGAAAGAAAGAGGAAACAAAACACACAACGCAAGAAAGGAAGAATGAATCCAGTATTGAAAGTGATCAGGAAGACCACCAGAGATATGAAAGTGAAGGACAGGAGAGAATGAGTGTATCCAGTAGTAGTGACAAACAATCTGGGGATGAGAGTGACCTAAGGTATCATGATGATTCAAATGAGAAGAATCAGTTAAGACCGAGATCTCCTATAAAAAGAAATAGAGACTCGCCCTGAGAGACAGATGAGGTCCCCCAGGGTTGTTCATAGAAGTCAAAGATCAACTAAAGGTATAAGGCTTCTTAGATTCAGGGAGGTGTAGTGATATGTAAATTAGGTACTGTATAAAAGGCAGTATTGTCATACCTACGGGAGAGTTATCATCTCTTGACGAGGCTACACATGTCAGAGAAAATACCTGTCATAACATATTTGGTTATTTAATCTAATTTACACAAAAATTATAAATCTAATTCACAATTGAAAGAAATATTTATTAGTAAAGCTATTTTATATCTGATGCAATTTGATCTGGGATTATTGATTCTCATGAAGATTTTCCTAAATATGAAGATATAATAGTGACCTTTAATATCAAGAATTTACTTCAGGAAAAAGAAAATTAATTGGTTTATTTATTTGAAATTGCAAGTATACAAATTAATTTGTTCAGAAATTAAAATTAGAGCCAGCATTTCAGTTTTATTCGGGCTTAAATTTTCCAAGTTATATAAAAAAATCTCTACATTGATTCATCATCTTTAAAAATAAGTTCTATTTTATTAAATATATTAAAATAATTTAACGTATATTCAGCTCTTAATTTTGAAATATGGAAATAATCTTAATGTTTAAAAATAAAAATTTTAAGGAAATAGTTAAAAATGAACAGTTTTTCTCCTATATGCCTAATAATTATTGAAGATACCTAAGTAAAATTAAACTTTACCTCAGTTCCATAAAGTTGTGCTATGTGGCATAGCATCAGGAAAGAAATATCAAACAGCAGGGCCCGTGTGTTGGCTGCCTTGCCACCTTCCCCAGTAGCTTGACGAGCAAATTCATTAAACCTAAAACATCATGAAAATTTTTAAAATAATAAAATATACTTTAGCCAACAATAAAAGCAATCATTAATTTTATTTATAAATTAATCTATTTGATTATATTGTAAATTGCAAAAATAGGATTTATGGCTACTCAGGCTAAGTCTGAATTAAAAATGAGACCATTAACATGATTGGACATTAAACTTTTATAAAACATCAAAATAAATTTAACAAAATATTAACTTTAATAAACTTTAATTGGTTAGGATTGAAGAAAAAAAAAATCAATTTAAAAAAAATGAGCTGAATTTAATTAAATAACATATTAAGCAAATTTAAAGTGCCTTTAGATCTTAATTTTTTTCATTAAATTTAAACAAATAGTGAAAAACATCATGCATCAATATAAATATTTCAAAATTAACAAGTGTTAAAAAAAAAAAAAGAAAAAGAAAAAGGAATTGTGTAGATTTTCACCAAATTATAAATTTACTTACAACAAATTTCATGACTAAAAAGTCATGAAATTTGTTGCAAGTGTTCTTGTGTTAAAATGTGAATAACTACTAAGATGATAAGCTGTATAAACAAAAAAACATGTTCCAATGAAAGCTACTTTCTACTTTTTTTTCAGTTTTAGTTTTGTTGCACAGAAACACTTGATGCCTAGGTGAACCATTAAATTTCCTTCATAGTTTTATGTTGTAATTTGGTTCCGATTATTGTTGAAATTGTAATTATAGTCTATCATGAGAATTCATGAGACTAGCAACAAATGAAAATAATTATACAAAATATCGAAGTTTGTAATAAGATTTGTGTCTTAAAATATCAACTTCTTTTTTTATGGTTTATAAGGCAAAAGAAACATGACATATCACTCCTAGACTTATAAACTAATAGTGAACAACTAAACATAATCAGAAAAAATGATAGTTGAATCAACAGTAAAATGAACCACAATATTTATTTAAATTTAAAAAGAAACTTCTATATAAAAATTATATTTTGAAATTAATTTTAATAGTTAATTATTTTGATTGGGGTTAGAAAGCTTAATAAATTAAAAAAAAAAAAAAAAAAGGAAAGAAATACTGCAAATACTATATGAAAACTAATTTTCTGCATAATGTTTGTCCCAACATAACTTGGGATATTTATTTACATATTCTCAAATCTGCCCTTAAAGAGGACAGATTAATGAATATATCCTTATTTTGTACAAAAATAATATAAAGCAAATTCTGGTTAATTTCATTCAGCCTAGATAGTTCTGCAATTTATGATAATCAAATATTTAGGAGTAATTTACGTGCTAATTTAGTTTTAGTAATCTATCAGAATTTGTTTTTTTTTCTTCTTCAATTGAATTGTCACTATCAGATAATTTTTACAGATAAATGCCTTTTCGTCTGTAACAAAGTATGCATATATTTGTGTGTAGAAAAACAACAAGGAAGAGTAAAAGATTATAAATCAGTTAAATAGAAAAGAAAGGAGGACCAAAAAAAGTTTTCACTGTATTGAGAGTATGTAGTATAAAGTTAGAATATGTTGCATTTATTTACTTACTTGACAAGTTTGATAGCAAAACTCTGCAATTTTCCAGTGGCCGCAGCAGCTGCAAGTATGAGCTCAAAGCTCTTTCCTGACAGCATGTGAGATAAGACTCCCAGAAGTGGTTCTTGGTTCTTAGAGTAATCCGCATCCAAAGTCTGCCAAAGAGGAGGAGAAATCAGGTTGTGTTGAGTCTTTGATGAGAAATAAGAAAAAAAAAAAAGGTGCAAGGCAAAGCTCAACTCAATTGTCTGTCAGTCAAACTAGTTGGCACATCCTATAGGAAAGAAATCACATTGCCCCAAGTAGTGAGAGAATAGTTAATTTAACTAACAGGAGCTGAATCTCTTTTGCATCCACTACTTTTGAATAAGATCCAATTCTGAATAAAGATATACTTAAAATTATTTACTTAGTTCAAGTTTAATCATTACTCCATGTATTTTTTAGAGTTATTAACATTAACTTTTAAAGACAGTTTAATTTCTTTAAGTGGTTTATATTAAAACAGAAAATTAATGAAAGAAGCAAAACAAACTAACCAACTAAAGAGGGACAAACCTAACACACACAAAAAAAAGGAATGCCAAACAAGAATGTAAAGTTTGAAAAAATTCCTTATGCCTTGTAAAAGGCAATAACAAAAAGTATATTTGCCTTTTAACTTCCTTTCATGTTTGATCCCTATGAATTAAAGATGAAGCTCAAACGATAGACATATATAAACATATTCTACCAAAGCCTTCATCTCAAAAGATAAGATTTTCAAGAATATATATATATTTTTTTATATTCAAACTTTCCATAATATATTAGAATTGAAATAATATTTGTTTACATGAGAATACTATGTTTTTTATTTTTTATGTACAGAGCTGCTCAATTTAAAAACAAGTCATTTATATGGAATTCTATCCAAAGAAATTTATAACAAAGTCAAACAGAAATAACTAGTGAAGAGTATACAAAACCTTGAATATGCATCAGTGTTAATAATATGGAACCTCAATTTGATTTAGTTAAAAAAAAAAAAAAAAAGAAAAGAAAAGAAAAAAAAAGAAAGAAAAGAAAAGAAAAAAAAAGAAAGAAAAGAAAAAAAAAGAAAGAAAAGAAAAAAAAAGAAAGAAAAAAAAGAAAGAAAAAAAAGAAAGAAAAGAAAAAAAAAAGAAAGAAAAAGAAAAAAAAAAAGAAAAAAAAAAAAAAAAAAAAAAAAAAGAAAAAAAAAAAGAAAAAAAAGAAAAAAAAGAAAAAGAAAAGAAAGAAAAAGAAAAAGAAAAAAGAAAGAAAAGAAAGAAAAAGAAAAGAAAGAAAGAAAAAAAAAAAGAAAGAAAAAAGAAAAAAAAAAAAGAAAGAAAAGAAAGAAAGAAAGAAAGAAAGAAAAAAAAAGAAAAAAAGAAAAGAAAGAAGAAAGAAAAGAAAGAAGAAAGAAAAGAAAGAAAAAGAAAAGAAAGAAGAAAGAAAAGAAAGAAGAAAGAAAAGAAAGAAGAAAGAAAAGAAAGAAGAAAGAAAAGAAAGAAGAAAGAAAAGAAAGAAGAAAGAAAAGAAAGAAGAAAGAAAAGAAAAAAAGAAAAAAAGAAAAAGAAAAGAAAAAAAGATGACCAACTAGGAAAATGGAATTTCTTTAAAAATCCAAATACTTAAAAGGGAAAAAAGTCTTTTCATGCATTAAATTAATGAAAAATTTCCTTGTACAATTTTAAGCTATGTAGATGATTAATAATAAAAGAGCTACTTTTAATAAAATTTTATTAAAAAACAGCAACTATTTTTTATTGATTGATTATAAACATTTAAAATTCTTTTAAAATATCTTTAAGTTTAGTACTTAAAAATTCAGCTAAAATAAACCAATTTCAAAAAAGAGAATACTTAAAACATGCCTATGTGATTATATTTTATTTAAAATATAACATTGAAAATATCTTAGAATAAGTGAAGAAAATAAAAACTAACTGTATCTATAGATGCAAGTGTGTGGGTAATAAAACAGATTTGCAGATAACAAGAAGAACATTTAAATAACTAGTCAATATTTAGGGAAATATAAGTGGAAATGAAAGAGTTTAGTGTATATTGTTACTGTCTAGTGCATTTTGTGAAGAGAAGCCATTTTTGTTTTCTAGACAAACATGACAGAAAATCAGGGAACGCTGTTAATACCTTTTCACTACTGAATATTAAATTTTTCTTATGCTCAGCATACATTTCTTGCAAAGGATGGGCTGTAGTAATTAATCATTCTTACCATAGACAACATACTGGATAATTCTCATAAAACAATAAAGACTAGAGATAAAAAGCATAGTCCAAACACGATTACTTCTAGTAAAGTATTTTTAAACTATTGATTAGAAAATTAATTTTGCACCTAGAAATTAAAACTGACAGGATTAAATGTCTTTTTCCTATATAAGAAAAAAAAAAATTACATTTAAAAGATTAAAGTACAATGAAACTGGGTGAGTGGGGGGAGAAAAGTTAAAAACTAAAGCAAAAATAAATAAATGATAGGTAACAAAAACAAGAAAAAGTTTTACAATCACAGATTTCAGAATGGAATATCTAGAATATTTGGGAGAAGCAAAAATAAATAAAATAAATTCAGAGACATAATATTTATTCTGTAGTTATTTTATTGTTTCATAAATTTGTTTTAAACGAGATGGGTCACCTTGTTTGCATATTGTGTACTCTCGTCTTCTAACCTTGTAGAAAAGAATCTTTTTAATATATATCAATAAATTTGATCTTGTTATAAAGCTGAATTAACAATCTTTACAGCAGCATCATTTTTATTTTCAATAATTTGGGAGTTATAATTTGAATTTACTGTTTAAATATTGCATAAAATAATCTAATAAAAGCAAGACAGAAAATAATAAAATTGAAACTGGGGAACAAAATGAAACAAAGATACTAAACATTTAATCTTTGTTGTATATGATTATTGTGTTGACAAAAAAAAAAAAAGAAAAAAGAAAAAAAAAAAAAGAAGAAAAGTAATCACAAGAAAAACAACCTCTGATATACTGACAAAATTAATAAATCTTATACTGCTGTAAAGATTATTCATTATTTTTCAACAATACTGTATTTGTGAACATACAAAAGGAGAAAATTAGTTTTCTTTTAAGCTGAAATAGAGTATATCATGAATGTACAGAAAATGTGTGTTGGTCTTGTTTATAAGCCATCAGATCAATTTTAACTATAACTATGAACTACTTATAAAACATATAGCTAAAAAGATTAATTTTACTTTTCAATGATAAATTTAAGGATAAAGTACTTTTCTTTCTAATTAAAATAGGGTATGTCATTAATATATACAACATGCATGGTTTTAGCATTTTAATGATTTTTCAGTAATTTTCTAAAGCAGAATTACATATACTGTTGTGGGGATGACTGGTCTACAAATTCCATTTCATTCATTTTGCTTTAAGAACCTGGTTGTAATTTTCATTCTACTTAACCTTAAAAGAACTTTTTGTTTGAACTCTTTTTTAAAAAAGGTTATTGGTTATAAATTAAAATAATTGAATAGATTACAATATCAAAATTCAAGTCATCCTTTTTACTAAACTCAAAGTGACCCAGCTCACTTAAAATTACTATGTAAAAAAAAATTATATAATTTTAAATAAATAAAACTACAGCAAACAGAAAAATATCAAAAAAAATAATCTACCATTGTGACAGTATTATAATTGTTTATACTAGGAATGTTAACAAAACTGTTACATAAATTTACCCCTATAGTATTTCATTCAGAGAAGTAAGGAAAATTATAAATTGATTACTTATATTAAGAGATGATATCACAGAACTTGAAAGTGTTTAACATGTTCCATGGCAAGTTATTTGCATAATATTAATATTTATCTTTTCTGAAAAAAATTGCCAACTTGATTTAATATGAACATTTAATTTCTTTTTCTGTCTAAGCAAATTCAATCATAATTGAAAATATTTACTAAACCTGTTATAATAATGGGGCACCCAGTGATGATCAAACTCACTATGTAAACAATGATCTGTGTGTGAGACTAGTTTGCCAACACTATCACTTTAAAATGTGTCCAATTTGAAATTATTGAGAATCACCAAAACAAGACAAAACAATTGGCTGCTGCTGCTGCTGCTATCAGCAGTGAAAGCAGTGCAGTATGAAGGAAAGGGTGACAAATGACAAGAATAAAAGTATCTACAGCTAATGATGGTAAAGAAAAGAGGAAAGAGCAATTTAACCACAATAGATTGAATTGCAGTTTGCTGGTGGTCCCTGGAGTTTCATATTTAATAAAAGGCAAAGGAAAACAGATGTGACTGAATTGAAAAATGATTTATTATGATATTGACCTGCAGAAGTGTGCACCTGTGCAAATGGCTGTGTTGGTGTGTTGTTAAGTATCTGCATTAAAATGGTGCCACAAGGGGAAATATCACTACACATACCAGGATGACAAACAACAAAGTTAAAATATCTCACTACAAGTCAAAAGGTAATCATTAAAAAGAAAATTGAAATGTGTTTAAATTTGTAATAATAAATGAATTTAAAGAAAAATGGAAAAAAATTATAGCAGAGATTCCAACTTGTAATTGAAATAATGTAAAACAGTGAAAATAAAATGAAAAGGTTGTAACTAAAAATTAAGTAACACACAATTAGAGAAGTGACAAATGGAGCAAAAAAAAATTAAAATAAAAAAAGACAAATGCACATAAATATAAATACAAAAGCTTAACTAGCACAGACATGGGTAAGGCACATGAAAGTTCATCTCTAGAGATTATAAACACAAGATAAAAAAAAAACAAACAATGAGCTGGCTATAGTGCGCACACACACACACACATAAATTATTCATCATTAACATTTAAAAAAAAAAGAAAAAGAAAAAAAAAAAGGACAATTTGTGAAGAGCCTTTTGAAAAATGTGAGGTCATGCTCTAGATGTGAAAAATCTTAAGCATACACACATGGAAGTCAGTTATAATGACAACATTTAATGAATCTATAACCCTGCCTTTAAGAATATCATTTGTGGAATTTTTAAATAACTGCTAGTATTAAGTGAATGGTGCTGTCAGACTTGCAATGCTACTTTAGGCAGACACTCACACAACTAGACACAGACAGCATCCACACAGATTAGAGTGGGGTAAGTGAATTTTCTATTTGCACACTTTAGTTTTACATGTCATGGAGAGAAAAAAAATATACAGAAAAAGAGATAGAATTTGTGTTTAATCAAAAGTAGGGTTTCTGTTTTCACATAATACTGAAAATCATAGCAAACTTACTGAATGCACATCTTCTACAGTCGCCATATTATGAGGGGAACCAGTAAACTGCAAGTCAACCGAATACTTTTTCAGAATGTAGAACATTGACCAGGATATACATTTAGTTTAATCACACTGAAATAAAAAGGTGCAGGCTAATGCCAAATTGACTGGGACAATATGATGCTTCAAGGAGACTCACTGTCACCATTCAGCAGCCTAACAAAGTCATCAAGTTAAGATTTTATCAAAATGACACTTTCATTTCTACATTCTGTATAAGTGTTGACCACTTAGAATGGAGATGCTTTGAAAAGCATAACCATTCTTAAGTAGATGAGATGACATCATTGCTGTACAGAGAGAATGTTGAAACATAACAATGGGCAATAATACAAACAATGCATTCTGTGTTTGTGTGTGTATGTAAGAGAGAGTATGTGTATGGGTTTAAAATGATAAAAATCAAATATCCTATTCTTAATCTCACACAATAAATCCAAGGCAAAAAAAAAAAGCAAATGAAACAAAACAATTTATACAGTCAAAACTATTAATAAAATTAACAATTTATATACTTAGATAAAGCTAAAATTAAGACCACAAAAGAAAAAAAAAAAAAAAAAAAAAAAAGTATTTTTAATAAACCTTAAAACATGTACATAAAATATTTCCATTTTGAAGGGTATAGTATTATTCTATTCATATCACATAAAAGGAATCTACTTTAGACATTTCATAAGTGATAATATAAAGTGGGTGTTACAATATTGTTATGAAAGGTAACTTGGGCAATGATTACAAACAAGATTTATTAATTTACACAATTTTAATTAAGTATATTTAATTAAAATAGTGTAAATTAAAAAACCTTTCCACATTCAGTTATGTATTACATTTGTTGGCTATACTTAAATGAATAATTAAGAAAAAAAATTTCATAATACTAAAAAGGAAAAAATCTCATTTAAATTATTAAATATATAAAAAAAGCTTTAAAATAGTTCTCACTTGATCTTAAAATTTAATAGATTTCATTTAAAGAAGGATAATTTGAGGACAAAATTTTCTAACTTAAAGTTTTTGGACTAGTGACAAAAAAAAAAAATACATATATAGATTCAGATGTACATATCAGGATGAAAATGACTTTAGCTAAAAAGGGAAATAGTGGAGAAGACAAAACTGGACAAATTTCATGCGAAATTTAATGAAAACCACTAAATAAAATCTTGACAAAACTAACAATTATTTGGCCAACAAAGATGACAAATTCAATATATAATAGAAAAATTCAAGTTAAAATTTCAGCACAGATAAAATAATTACATGTCATAATTTTTCAAAATAATTAGCAGAAATTTGATTTTCTAACAATTTTGCATTAAAATTTACCAGTTCTTATTTTAACAAGTAAAAATTTACACTTTTCAGCAAATTTTTTAAATTAAAAGTTAAAAATTATCATTTTTCCAAACCCAGAATTTCTTATAATGTATCTTTTGTATCAATATACAATGGATAAAAATAGCTATTTGGTTAATTTGCTGAATATAAAAATCATAAATCTTAAAGTGATTTTGAAAAAAAAATATATTAGCATTTTTTTGTATCATGCTATTTTAGTATCTTAATGTAACTGAAACAATGTTATTTTGCAATATACTAATGAAAAAAATGGCCATTCATATGCATATCAACTATGTATGAAGTTTGCTTTTAAAAAAGTAAATTGCATTGTATTAAAGAAAAATATCTTGCTATAATTGTAACAAAATCTGCAATTTATTAAAACTTGAAATTACAGAATCAGTTTCACAAAAATATGAAATAAGTTGATGTACATATTTTCTTTCATAAAAAATACAAATTTATGGTATTTCTTGAATGTAACCAAATTACATATAAACATGGTTACCAAGTACATCAATGTTTTGTGGAGAATTCAAAGACAAGCATCATTTCCATTTGTATTGATAAATAAAGGAAATATCATTTTAGTGACTAATAATGAATTTGTGACAAAAATTAATACATTTTGAAATCACTAGTTAAAAAAAAAAAAAAAAAAAAAAAGAAAAAAAAAAAAAAAAAAAAAAAAGGTTAAAACTGATTATAGAAAGCTGGAAAGAAAAACATTACATAGGTTTATTCATCAGTCATGCTTTTATAGCTAATGGCCAATTTGGATGTGTTAATTCAAAGATTGAAAAAGAAAAGTTAATATTGGATCAGCTTAAAGTGCAAAATCCAAGTGATGATTATAGATAGCATTAGTTAAAGAAAATCTTCAGGCAACAAATTTTAAACACTGCATGACAAAAACTATAATATATTTATAGTTTCTTGTAATACAAACTTGAACTTAGATTATTTCAAACTCTAAGAGATTAATAAAGGTGCAATAAAATTACTATTTGTAGATATTTCTAGAAACAAATAAAAGCATTCATTTATCTATACTGATTAAAAATTATCACTGATAAAAAAAAGACTGTCTTGAGAAACATACAATTACTGCAGACTTATTTTTAAAATGTTTCTAGCCAAAATATTTTTTGATGCTAAAAAAAATCATCACTTGATCAAAAATTCATGTTAATGTCATGTGCTTCTAATTCTAAGCAAATATGGTGCAAATTGTTAAAGTTCTATCATAGCTTTTAAGAGATTAGTAATCTTTCTTTTATGAAGCCAATAAGTTGCATAAATCAACGTAAATAAAACTAAATTAGTTTGAAAGCTTAGACAAACATTTAAGATACAAGAAAAAATGCAATATAAATTTAAAATCTTTAAACAAAAAATTCAGAACATGCTTCAATGATTTAAAATAAGAAATAGCTTAAGACGGACAAATTTTAAAAAGATAACTGTTAGAAGTTTACAGTTAATGAAATAAACTATATTTCCTGAAAAATAAAAATACATTTAAATTTTTTTCTGATATACCAGAAATAATAATGGTGAAATATTTCAAATGGTCACATTTCTTTAAAAGACTAAAATTGTTGATTTCATTAGAGAATAAGTAACTAATTAATCTAGATTAAAAAAAGAAAAAAAAAAAGTATAAAATGAACCCATAATTTTCAAAAAGTAAAAAAATGAAACTAAATATTTTTAAAAGTTGGCAGATAATGTCATTTCTGTTTACATTATTTTTCTAAAATAAAATTTTAAACTGTTACAAATCAAAACTCAGTAATAAGTTTTTGGTTTCTCACTAAATAAAAATTTAGGAAAAAAAAAAAAAAAAAAAAAAAAAAAAAAGTTGTAATCCAATGTGATTGTTCAAAAGGTATATCACAGCCTAAACATGAACAATGTTGAATAAACGAAATAATTAATGAAACAGCTAGTCTTTCAATTAATACTGTATTCTATAAATGAATATATGAATTTAAGTTATTTCAAAAAGATCACTATTATTGCTTTAAAAGATAAAAATTAAATTTTTTTTTCTAAAACAATGATACAAATTTTTTATAACAATTGACTTCTTATTTTTTTAATATTTAAATTTTGGTTGCTACTTTTTATCAAAGTAATTTATTTTTCACTTTTTACAGAAAAAAATATATCAAAATAACTGGTTTCACGTAATAATCTCATTAAGTAATTCAAAGATAATGAAGAAATAAGTGAATTTCAATTTATGAAAATATCTAATAGGATGAGAAGTGAAATGATGCCTGTACCTTAAGAATACTTGTAACTGTAGGCTCAGCTCGTAAAATCAAGCTAACACTAGGCTGGGTATTGGAAACTGCTTCTGAAGATCGCGGTTTCTGGGTTTCTAAAATTCTGCAAATAGAAACCAATGGAGAGTATGCAAGCATAAGTAAAGAATAAATGTAATCACATATATTTTTTGTATTAGTATATATTAAACAGTTATATCAGAAAATTGACATTAAGGAAATGTGCATGCTTTATAATGTCAAATGCTTACCTAACTTATGTGAATGAAATTTCACAAACATTTGGCAGGAATGAGAGGTAAAAAGCATCAAAATGCAAGGTTACAAAAAAAGTGCTAGAATTAAGGAATGACCCATTTAAAAATTACATTAAAACTAAATTCATCTTATTAACTTTGAAGCATACATCTTATTTTTCGTTAGCAATATAAATACAGGAATGTACAGTACACATTTATTTTAAGATACAGATATGCTTTCTTTCTATAAAAATTACAGAAGTGTATTAATACAGAGTGAATTTATTTTGAAAAACTATCAATAATAAAATATTATACAATATTGTTTATATTAAGCAATTTTAATTTTATCCTAAATATGATTGCTTTTAAGGACAAAAAAACTTTCCAGGGTGACATATTCTTACAGTCTCTATAAATTTATAAAATATGCTTGACCAGGTTATGTATATTTTCATATCTGGAAAATTAGAATACAAACCTTCGTTGTTGTAATTTTGATCCTTGATTTTCTGTAATTAGTGTATATTTTTGACATTCTTTTAACAGGAATGAGACACAATCACAACTAAAAATGAGAGAATATTTGAAAATGTGATATATAAAAGAACAAAAACAAATTTAAAATATTTGTACAGAAAAAAAAGAAAAAGAAAGGGTCAAATAGAAAAAATGTTCAAACACTATACAGTAAAAATATGATTAAATAAAAATACTAACAGAAATTTAGTAAAAAAATTGATAAAAAAAATAGAGAAAGAAAAGAATTATGACATTACTAAACTGAAATATTTTAAAATTGTTGACGAGCATTTTCTTTAAGAATTATTTAAAAGGTCTGTTAAAAGTTAAATGTACTCACTTTAAGCGCAAATCAGTCACATCTAAAAGTGGGACATAATTAAGCAATCTGTCAAATCCCATTTCAAGTTCATGAGTAAAATCTTGACCTGGTGACTGGCGTTGAATACGTAGCAGGACTTGAGGGAGCTGAAAGAACCAAGCATTTTTCATGTATAGATTAACTGTTTTACTGACTCTATAAATAATATTTTAAATTTAAGCTTTATTTAAATTAATAATACTGCTATTTTGAAACTTAAGAAAATTCATCATATTTATTAAGAGAATGAAAAAGCATGTCAAGAATATATAAAAATCTTTGAAACCTTAAAACTTAATGCATTATTAATTGCAAGTAATCAACATTTTAAGCTAATGAATTAAAGAGCTAAAAAGAAATCTAATAAATTAGAAAGCCACTAAAGTTTAAATAGTTAAATCATATGAAATTATCAAAATGCTTAAAAATGTATGTAGTATACAATCAGATGAGCATTAGAGCAAGATGCATCATAAAATAGATTTTTGTAATCAAACTGGAAAAAAGGCATATCTAAATATTTGGATTTTTAAAATAGTCAAGAAAAAAATAAGAGAGAAGAGGAACCGATTAAAAATAAGTTTACCTTTAAAAAAGTGAATGCAGCCCATTTTAGTTCTTCTTGGCCTCCATTTGAATCAATCAAGCCCATAAAACAAGCCCGCATCAATTCACAATACAGCTTAGCACGATTCAGTTTCTGAAAGAAAATATTTCAAAAATATTACAATCAACAAGACTGTAAATTATTGAAAATTGTGAAATAAAATTATCAGTATTTGAAAATTTGATTTTTTATTAAATAGTAACAAAAGTAAAAAGTTGCCTATTTTAACAGGTCTTTTCCCCCATAATTCAAATTAATTATTCAAAAGTTAAGCAAATGAGAACTTTTAAAAAATTTAAATTTATTTATTTATTTAAAAATTTGTTTAATGCTTTCTCACAAGCCGTGTTGAAGATACCATATTGTGATTTTGAGGCTAATTTGGACATTAAATTGTTGTAATTCTAAAAAAAGAAAAGGAAAAAAAAAAAAGAAGACAGACAATAACAAAAAGGTAATCCTCCTTAATATTTGGTTGTATCACCTTTGACAGCAATGACTACCTTCAAATGTTTCTGGTAGCTCCATCTGTAAGTTTCTGACACTTCAACTGATATTTTCTCACAGTCTTCCTTTGCAATTTGTTCAAGCTCTTGAATATTTGCCAGATTCCTTTCCCCAATATCAGATTTCAGCTAACCACATAGATTTTCAATGGAATTATTATAATCTCCAGATATTATTAATTCCTGTGATACAGTCAAGGCCTCCAGTACCAGCTGCAGTAAACTAGCCCCATAACATTATGGATCTTCTACAATGCTTAACTATTGGTAGGGTGCTCTTTTTTCTTTATAAACTTCATGGCAAAACTGCTACTGGAAGCTTTTTAGCAATGCAAACCAACAATTGTTGGTTTGCATTACCAAAAAGTTCTATTTTTGTTTTGTCTATTTACAGAACATTTTTCAGAAGGATTGTAGTTTGTTCAGGTACTCTTTGGCAAAGTTCAATCATTCCTTTTTGTCTCTTTTTCAGTAATGTGGGTTTCCATGACCTTTGCCCATAAAGCCCTGCTTGATTTAGTGCACATCATATGATATGTGGTGAAACAATTAGTCCAGATTGTCCCAGGTTGGCTTTTGGACGTTTTATGTGGTGTTTTTCCAGTTCACACCACCTCTGATGACTTCTCTCATCAAATTTCCTGTTACTCCCACTTCCAGGGAGTTTCCCAAGTTACATGCATAGCTAACATTGTGCACTGTTGAAACAGGGATACTGAGATCCTTGGAGATTGCCTTATACACTTTAGACTTTTGGTGCTTATTAATAATAGCATATCTGATGTTATCAGCTCCTCTGAATTTGCCATTATAACAAAGGAACAGGGAATTACATGGCTTTTTAAAACAATGAAGTCATCATTCATTGGCTAATTCCTGTCATATGGTCTGACAGTTTATCAAGAGTGATTCTAATTTATCATAGGCAAGTCAAAATAGTTTTTATCTATTTGTTTTTTTTTTTTTTTTTTTTTTTTAGAGTGCCAATACCAGGGTCACAGTAATCTTTCAATTTTTTCCTATTTTTGCCTGAAGTCTGAACAGTTTTGTCTAGCCTTTGTTTATTATCCTTTTTGGAAAATCTATTTTAGGTATAATTAAACTGTTACTACTATTAATCAAAAGATAAAAAAGTCGAATATACAACTCACAGCCAATTTTTCAATCACAAGAAGTTGCTCTAAGAAAGGTTGGACATCATTAGTGGGATTCAACACGGCTTCCAGAGCCACTAGTGCATTAACTGTAGGACATACAGTTAAGTGAGACACTTCCAGGACTGGTTTGTCAGAGGAATGCTGCATCTCTTGGCTACAAATAAAAGGAATTTTTTTTTTTTTAATTATTTTTATGAGGACAGAATGAAATTTTAACAGTGTTAGGTAAATGACATTATACAAGTAATGATATTAAAGTAGTAATTACACAAATTTAAAAAAAAGAAAAAAAAAAGTAATAATACTATTGTTATAGTCTTGTTAAGTTTTAAAACCATTTTTGTTTTTTAAATTACTTCTGCACACACATACAAAACAATTCTGATTTTAATAGTTTTTTTTTTTTTAATTAAAATTTATTAACATTAATGGAGATAAGTTTTTTTTTTTTAAGTTTGCTATCCATTTGCACAATGCTAGTTTTTGCAATGCTAGGCCATATTTGATGTTATGATGTTAGTCTGCAATAAGTTTAATGCTATTTCTCTTTGTCCACTATGAAAAGTGGAACTTGAGGGCAAGGGGGGATGCTTAATGTAAACAACTGAAAATAAATCATATTATTTTAACAGAATACACATTGAAAATATAACAAAGCTGTTTTTTGCATTACTAAGTGATTAAAGGAAAATGTTTTAGCAGGATTGTAGGTCATACATAAATTACAACTTTCATGTTTATGTACTATTGATGACATAAGCATCCTGTCATTTATATATTCTGCTCTATTATGAAGATTAGATGTAGTAAGTGTGGCTTGCATGATTGGATATATAATTTTGATTTACCAATGAAATATTTAAAACAAATTTCTTTTCAGCATCACTTCTGAGTAATGCTAAGTTTAAGGGTAAATATACCTATCTGTTTATTAAAAACAAATGTGAACAAATGTTTCACCCAAGAATTGTTAAAGAAAAAAAGAAGATATTTTGAATCTACCTGCCAAGAACTCTAAGAGTTTCAATCACTTTCTCTCTCTGTTGTGTTGATATCACATTCTGCTGTAATTGTGTCACTGTACCACGAACATTGACTTCTGTTTGTTCATAATCTCGATAAGTCTCTATTAAAAGAAAAAGTTAATGCACACCTATATGTCACTCAAAATTCAGAATCATTTACATTAAGTAGAATTATGTATAATTTCTTTTTGCAAGATTAAGGTCATATAATAGCAAAAAAAAGTTGTGCTAGGAGTAAAGATTTTCATAATTTCTATAATATAGGTACCTCCACTAATTTGGTATAAATTTGCAATAAGATTTAAAATGAATTTTTTAAAATGAAAAAGCATTCTTGAAGATTTCATTTTAGCTTTAATTGAAAAATGAATGATTAAATTTACTATTTCCAGTCAGTAAAATATTCTGGTGTATTTCAAATAAAAATTATATAGATTAGAATCTCAACTTTTGGGGCAATTTCAGAACATTTTCTTAAAAGTGGCCATTTTCTTAATTTGAAAAAATTTGTAAACAAAATTATTTTAAAAATCTTCCAAAAATAAAATATGTATTTGTGGCACATTATTTGAGCGAAATTAGCAAATTTAAAATTAAACTCTGATTTGAAATAAATATTACTTATAGCATTAAAAAGTAATATACAAGCATTTATTAACAGATCTTGGCTTTGTGATGCGATGATTGATGTATGATGCAAGTTACAAGGTGATGATAGCTAGTATGGATGACTAAAACTGACATAAATTTACATAAGTGAATGCATTTTTTTTTTTAATTTTAACTACCTAGTAATTTTTTTTTTTTTTTTTTACAAATGAACATTTTTTCTGCAATTGTCTAATATTTTATTGACTTATTTACCTTTCAAAGATGCTTCATGCAAAAATAAAACAAAATTTAAAATACTAGAAAATTTTCTTAATATTTCAATTTAAATGAACGAATTGCAGATGTGTGAATTTCTCTGTAAAAGGACAAAGCTGTTAGATCATGTAACCTTTTTATAAAAAGGTCATGTTTAGCCTACCATAAATAAAAAAAAGGGAACGAAAATTTTTTTTTTTAATAACAGAATGGTAAAACTGTTTATTAATCTTTTCAATTTTGGATTTGTAAATTTTTTCACTTAATTACAATATCACATCCAGGAAATAATGCAATTACAGAATTTCAAACTATTATAAATTATTATAATTAAATTTAAAAAAAAAAAAAAAAAAAAAAAATTTTGTAAAAATTCATTATTCATTGAAAATTTTTTTATTTCTTCAAACAATAGTGTCCTTAATATAACTTATTTAGAAAAGTAATTAAAAGCTTTTCTAATTATGTCATAGTTTGATAAAATTTTTTTAGTTTACTATTTAGAGCAGATTTTCAGTTAGAATGGTAAATGTTTCGAGGAAAAAAAAAAAAAAAAAAAAAGGAATATTTGCATTCTCCAAGCAGCCCTACATTTAACTAATAAAAAAAATTTGGGGAATAGAAAGATATTTCATGAAATTAATTGTAGGCAACATATGTATAAAAAAAAAAAAAAAAATTCTAAAACAAAAAATTTAAAAAATAATTTATTTGTGAATAAATCCTGAAAGTTTCATTAAAATGCAACAATTATTTGTTTTTTGCACAAATTTTCAAATGAATGTGTTTGTCGGAAAATAGCACAAAAAAAAAAAAAAAAAAAAAAAAAAAAAGTATTACATAATTATTACGTTCCCCAAAGATGTAAACAAAACAAGATTTAGAACCAAAATTTTGAACATGCTAGAAAGGATTAAAAAAAAAAAAAAAAAAAAAAAAACTTGGTCTTTCATCTTAATAGTAATATAAACATTTTGACAATAAAACTGTTTTTATTAAGTTTGTGGCCTTTTTCATTATGCTATGCTGTTTTCCCCGTGAAAAAGTGGAGTTACATATTATAACAGGAGACAAAAAGGAATCAAAAATTAAAATGTAAGTGTACCTGTATCTTCTGAGCGAGCAATATAAAGCAAAGCCCATATAGGACCTCCCTGCATAATTTTCTGGATTGCAGTGCAAGTTTTATCAATAATAGCACCATGTTCCTGCGTTTGCCGTCCTTCTGCCAGCCTCTGTAGTGATTTCAGGATACATAACAATAACCAATGCAGCAGTTTTTGAATAGAACGGGACAGAACTAGTGGTGAATCAGCACAGCAAGCAAAACTGTAATCAAGTAATGTTATTTACAATTGGGAGAAACAAGAAGCTTTCAAAAAATACAAATTTTAAATGTAAATAGTTATAATTGTATATTATCTGCAATTTAAAAGGCTTAAGATCAGTTATTTGGCTTTAGAATTTATAAAAAGTTAAACATTTAAAACATCAAGTATTCTGTCTTTACAATGGTAACTCACACACACATTTATCTGATAAAAATATTAAAATATTTTTCCTGAAAAACTTCCTAGATTAATTATATAACAAATCTTTTTACACTGGCACTCAATAAGTTAATCATGCCTTTTAAAATACAAAATTACTCCCTTCTTGATGGTCAATTTAATACTAGAATATCACATTTTACTTACCTAAATTTCACTGTAACACTTTCTACTAATTCCACTAATCCAAGGATGCAATATGGACGATTAAAATCTTCAAATTTTGTAACATTTTTGTATGCCACATTATGAGGAATTAACTGAAACAAGAAAATTTCAAATACTTTACTAAGATAAAATTACAAGATTATTGATATTATAAACTCATAATCAGTATGTTCAAATGTGAATTTACAAAAGATTAGTCAACTAGTTAAACAATAGTTTCACTAAGACTTTTTCTACCATTATCGCTCTATAGAAATAAGTATTACAAAATTTCTTTCCCAGTTTTGTAAGTTCAGATAATTGAATTGACTATTTTTGCAAAATTTAGAACAATCAACAAACATTTGTATTAGTAGTTTAAACAAATTATATTTAAATGAAATCTTTCAGTTGTATAATAGACATAAAAGTAAAGAGACAAAGACAATGTAGTAATTGTTGATTAAGTGATAAGCACAATGCTAGGGATTTGATATGTAGAAAACTATTTTCAATAAATACAACTTATTGATTAAAAAAAAAAGTTTGAGTAGTTCAGTGGTAGAATGAACATTTATTAAAGTGTCAAATCTTTAAGATGAAAAAAAAATTTACCTGTGAGCTGACTGCATGTCTTAAATAAGACATAACCAAAGTGTTGGGACTGGTTCCAACTAAAGCTTGCTGTAAAAGGATTTCTGTAGGAAAAAAGGAAACTTAATAGTTTACACAAAAGTGTACAAATATTAATCTTTGAATCGATTTTATGATTAAAAATCATTTTAAAATCCAAAATAAAAAATTACAAACAGAAATGACTTCAATGAATGATATTCACAGAATGTGTTAAATCTTTGTATACTATAGATTGATTAGAAGGAAAAAAAAACACTAAGAACCATAAGAGATGCAGAAAAGAAAAAGAAAATATTAAAAGCATCAACTGACCTGCAAGATCACAGTTTTCTTCAGGACAACTAGCAAGAACTCTTTTCAAACAAACTCCCCATCGTATTTCATTCCAGCGCTCACGCCAAGCTTTTACAAGAACTGCTCGCACAAGACTTGATATGGAATCAGATTTAGAAGAATCCACAACCATGATTCTATAATGAAATTACATTCAAAGACGAAAAAGATTAAAAAAAATATTAATTATAATTTATAATTTTATTATTTAATCTCCTGGCAGATTTTGAGAATATGCAGAAATAGCTTTTCCATTTTTTTGTCTATGCAATCAACACTGCAGTAGCAGACGAATTTAAAAAAAAAAAAAAAAAGTTAAATTTTAAAATTCTTTATTTTAAAACTTTAGAACAATTTTAAGAGATATTCTTACAGAATTTACAGCAACTAATTTAATCTTTAATGATGCAATGTGGGTCCTTTGTTTTTACGAATGGCGTTTTTAGTTTATCATTTCATAGGAAACCTTTTTAGAGAACCATTCTTCAATTAGAGTTCAGACAACCTGTTTGTGGCGTAACTCTGAATTTATCCTTTTTCAATCATTCAAATCATTTTATTTTTCATTTAAAAAACCTCTAGCCATTAATATTTCGGGTTGCTTCTGCAGCATGCGTATATTACCTTCTGTTTTGCCTAAAGGCAAAATAAATAAATAAAAAAAATTTTTTTTAAATTCGAAGGAAATTCAATCGTAGACTGTCTTTTTAACTTGATAAGACCAACTTTCCTAAATAATTTTATTAACAAGAATCAAATAGAAAAAAAAATTAATTAATTCATGATTAACATCCCTTACACCACATATGTTGTAAGTAGTGACTCTCTAAAGTGAAATAAATGTATTCATTTTATTTTTGCATTATGAAAGCTTTAAAAGCTTATATAAATTAAAGTTTAAATTGTCTTTTTTTAAAAAAAAACAAAAAAAAAAACCTATTAATAACTGCAAATATAACTGTTTCATTGTAAGAAATTATTTAGAACCAAAGCAAAATAATAATTTATCAAATAAAGTTCGAATTTCACAGAAAGGGCGACTCATCGTACGTTTAAGACTTTAAGTAGTAATTAGGATGTAGGCACAAAGACAATTCTTTTAATTTAAAGCAGTGATTGAGGAAAAAAAATTAACATTATTCTTCTCTTGTAAAATTTCATTAATGTTTTTTTTTTTTTTAAATCCTGTCAAAACAATTTTATAAATAACATCCAAAAATAGTAATTCGAAAATATCGGATATTTTATTCAATATTATAACAAGGTTAAATTCCTATTTTTATCTTGATAAAAATAAAATTTCAGAGGTAAACAATTTTATTTAAAAAAAAAAAAAAGAAAGTCGACAAATGAGAAGAAACCCGGATATAAGAGAGATTTTCTTTGGTCCCAAATTAGAGCCTGTGTTACCTAAACAAAATAGACCAAACCCGGATATAAGAGACTTCTTCTCCGGTCCCGACAACTCTCTTATATCCGGGTTACACTGTACAATGGCTGCCGTTAAAAAAAGATAAAAAGCAGATAAACAAAATTTGTTTAAAACAAAAAAAAAAAATTAGCCCGTCACAAAAGACATTTTAATCATTGATTTTTAATAATTAATCGATGAAAGTAATTTAATACTAAAAATATTAGGTAAACATCTGAAAATATTCAAATTTGATGAAACGATGATGACACAATAAAGAAATTTCACACTTAGTAGTATAAAATTAAAAATTATTTTCGGTTTACTTTAACTAGAAAATTTTTTTAATAATTCTAAAAACTGAAACGATCAACAAAAAAATAAGAATTTTTCTAAGAAATTAGCGCACCAAAGCATTTTTACATTTAATTTTACATAATGTTTTGTAAAATTTTTACAAAACATTATGTAGGATAAAGAAAGGAAAATTTGAAATGTCCTTCTGCCGATTATTTATATAAATTTTTCTTCTTAAAAAAAACAACTACTTATTGAAAAAAATTCACGGTGGCTATAATTAGAAAAACTATTCAAGATAACAGAATTTTTTTAATAACTTGTATCCTCGAAGACGGACTTAAAGCTAATAAGAATTTGAGAACGGAGACGAAACAAAAAAGTAGGCGAACAACGTATTCCTTTGTTTAAATTTGATTTGAAACAAACTGCTCACTTGCTTTTGGATATTCTTCAGTACATACCTTCTTTCTTTTTGTTGCCAACAATCTAGATAAATTATCTGTTCAGTATTTACATATTGACAACCAATAGTTCCATTATTTTTCTGGGGATAAAGTCAGTATTTGTCAAGAAAATACAGTTTTCATTCATGGCGGCTGCGGTCACTGCTACTGCTGCTGAAAATCAAACAGAAGCTAAGGTCATGGCTCATTCGATAGAAACAGTTACTTTTTTTTCTTTTTTTTTTTTTTATTCAAACCCATAAACTGAAATGCTCAGAACCTATATTTCATACTCATTAAAACTCCGAAATATGAAGAACAACAAATTGAAGTGCTGATACTTTATTTTTTAAAAATTCGTAATTTAACCATAATTTCATAAACTAAATAAAGAAAGATCGATTCCCTTTTAAAAGTAAAAACAAACAAAACAAAATAACTTCGGTCAGAGCAAGATATTGATTTTTAAATGGTCATGTGATAATTAGCAAATTTGGCTTATAATCAATTACTTTTAAATACAAATATATAAGACAAACTTTACTAAGCAATAATGAGCATTAAATGAAATGCCTTTTTTCTTTTTATTTAGTTTTAAGATAAATTTCCACTTTCCAGTCTGTAAAAATGTCATTGTTAGTTTATGATTCCTTCAGGAGAAAGCCACACTTTGCATTGAAAGAAAAAGAGTGACATCCTTTGTTGTAAAACTGCTTTTTGCTAATTAAATTATTAATTAGCAATTAAAACAAAATATAAATTTTGTGATTTAACAGATTATATCACTTGTTCAAGATTCATTTTTTAAAGGAAGTAGTTAGTAGAATTTTAGTATAGTTTTAGCTTTTTTTTTAGTTATATTCGAATAGAATCCAGAACAAAATCCCAGCCTCTTATGCCCCAAAGTGGGCAAAATCCCAATCTCATAAAAAAGTTTCAATAAAAAGAAAAAAAATTAACATTGAAAATTCAAGGAAGTCTAAATTCAAATTCAGATATTTGGCGCGGGGATTAAAAAGCAAATTTACCGTGAAAGAAGTGTAAAACTTCGATTTACAATATACTTATGATTATAAAACTATTTTTTAATAAAAAATCGATAATATTAAAAAATTGTAGAAGAAAAAAAAAACTATAAAATTTTATTGTTTTTTTTTCTATATTAATTTTTACACAATTCCAATATTTTATAATAAAGTTTTTATTTTATAATAAAAATTTTATTATGAAATATTGGAATTGTATAAAAATTAATATAGGGATTATTTTAATAGAAATATATTAAAATTGTATGAAAAACTAATTAAGAAAATGAAAACGTTACTAACACAGATTCATTGAAAAAAAAAACCCCACCAAAATGAAGCCAACAATCAGCACCTAATGATTCCATCGTGCATGAAACTCAGAATTGTGCTACCATTGAGGAAAAAATACATATTTATTATTAATATAAATTTTAGCTCTGTTATATATCGAGCACTGTTTTATTGCCACCAGCACTCAATGAACTTGTTGTGGGTTGTAGTTTGAGTAAAAATGTATCAGAAGGTAATTTATGTAAGGCAAAGATTATGTGTGCTTATTATATGCATTATCCCACAACACGTAGATTAAATAAAGAATATAAGGACAATTTTATTTTATAACAATTGCAAGAAATTACTAAAAACAGTGGTTAGAGATACAACAATAAAGAGATTTTATATATACAATAGATATACATGCAAGGATAAAAGAATGTTTGCTGATTGTGGCAATTGAAACAAGGTTATGAAGAATGTTCATGCAGAAATTTGGTCAATAAAAGTTAATGGTTTTGATTTGTTAGTGAAATTAAAATAATTTGGTTTCTGCAAGAAAAAATCTCAAATGTGTTCGTTCAAATATGAGTGTGTATGCGTGTGTTACTTGTTAGAATTTAAGTTGTGAAGAGTTGTTTGCCTTTAACTGTTTGGCTAAATTGATGAATTGTACAATTACTGTTTGTGTAATGAAAACGTTCACTTTTTAAGTCAATTGTAATTTGATTACCACGCGGACAATGGTCGATTGAGTGCTGTGTTGAGTTTGTTGTGAATTTTGAAGTGATGTTGAGTCAGTGAATTGACACGCGTGGAGTTTGGTAGCATCTCACGAAACTCGATGACTGACGATATTTATTTCTATAAAAGTTACAGAAAATGTGGCACAAGGCCTAAAAAAGGGGGATGAGGAAAAGACGGTCATCATTGGTCTTAATTTTAAAACTTAGCTAGCCACAACCACTGACCCAATCATTCAAAACAATATTCATACCACCAAAACAACACATTTATACTTACCTTTCTTACTACATCCACCAAAATACCTCATTGTCTCAATGAAAATCTTAAATAGTCCCCATATGTACAAATCGTTGTCTGTCAGGGGAGGGGAATAAAAACAACAAATTAAAAATCCCCAATGATTATATACAATATGGTTATAAACTATTTACAAGAAACTAAACAAAATCATGTTAGTAATAACCCCCCCCCACACACACACACACACAAACCTTAAATGTGGTAGAAATATCGGTTAACTGGACGAAATCGATGCGAGACTATAAAAATATAGAAAACATTCATCCATCCCAAGCACTCACACAGAAACGCACTCATTCTGACACAACAACAAATACGAAAAAAACACACACGCGAAATGAAAGGTGCCCCACATACACTAGAGAACAGACATCACTGACCACATAACGAGGGAGGGGATGGTGAGTTAAATTAAAGGGAAAAAAGGGACAGAAATAAAAGGGGCCAATGAGCAAACACACTCTAGCTAAGTTTACTGGAAAAGAAAAGAAAAACTAAAGAATCAAATACAAAAAACCTAATCTAGCCTAAAAAAACAGGGATGGGTTGTCCAAGTTCAACCAAGGAAAACAATATCCTAATGCCTAACCGTCATCAAAATGCCACTCCATATCAGCCCCTTTACTCGGCACAAGCGCGCAAAATTTGCCAAATTCTGATGCGGTGAGCCGCCACCTTTCCGTCCTAATTTGACTTTAAGCTGGTACCTAAAGAACAAGATCAGTTGGAAAGACGTGAACTCTCGCCATCATAGCCACGCGTCGTCCAAATCACGACTCTCATAACGCCTTGTGAGCAAAAGAACACATATTGTTCACCATTCGTCATCTGCGGCACCACATTGCTACAAACAGAACTGGCCTCAAGGACAAAGAACTTTCCCTGTAGCATGCGGACCATGAGGCCTTCAACAAACTTGCACAACGGCGCTACCACCCTGCAATGAAAGAAGGTGTGACCAATGGTCTCGACTTCCCCAATACAGCGTCGGCAATACAGCGGGCTTGAAGAAATTGAGATTTCTTCAAGCCCGCTGAACAAAGTCATTTGGCGACCCAGAGGGCCCCACGAATCACCAGCCAGGTGAGTGATGCCTCATCATTATTGAGGCATTTCAACCCAGGCGCCCAAGGAAATATTGAGCGAGCTTCCTGCTTCGTAAGACCGAGCTCGTCAATCAGATCATCATGAACGGACCCCCTGACGACAATGCCTGGACGTTGGAGAGGCCATCCGACGCCCATAAGAGGCGTTTCAGAGCAATACGACATTCACTATAGAAGAAGCATTCGGCTCGGGGTAAACGGTGGGCCTCCACATCGCTCGAGTGCACACTTTTCAGGGATGGGAAGTTTCTACGGACGTATTCCTTCCAGAAGGCGCCCTCCTCATCCGATTTGCAACATATTCGGTCTAGGAAGGCGATGCGAAGCATATATTGACTAATCTCAATGCGAGGCATACCCAGACCGCCTTCAGATGGATGAAGGCAACAGATCTCCCTAGATACCATAGCGCCCTTGTCTCTCCACAAGAAAGAGAACAAGAGCCTTACAAATGACATTAGTGGGGTATACGGAAGTGGAAGTACGGAGAGTTGGTAAAGGAGAATCGGGTAGATGTGTGAAACACATACTTCATAATTCCTCCGAGACCACAGATTAACCGCGATCTCAGCCTTCCGACCAATTCATTTCCAACTGGAGATCAGGACCGAACCAGACGCCGAGTATCTTGACCGGCCCATCCGTTCAGAGAAAAGGTCCAGGAAGAGAAACTCCCTTCCACGCACCCAACCGCAAGCGGTTGATCTTGGCCCCTGTCACCATCTCATAACCATTGATCTCTTTGCTGACTTCGTCAATCTCGGCTCTGTTCGACACAAGAACCGAAACGTCATCAGCATAGGCAGAATACCTGGCTGAGGTGGTAGCCCCGGACAGGGAAATTCCGCGCAGGACCTGATTCACCTTTAGCTTGCGAAGGAGAGGTTTCAACGTAAAGCAAAGGCAAAAGCGGACAACCTTGAAGAATGGAGCGTGACAATACGAAAGGCTCTAATCTTATCCCATTCACTTCCACCAGCGTACCGGGAGTCGCATACAAAAGTCGGATCCAGGAGAGAAAGTCGGGTCCGAAACCGGCCGCCGAAAGGACAGCCTCCAGAAAACGATGGTCAACCCTATCGAAGGCCTTGGACTGATCTAAATTGATCATCGCGGCTTCACTGTCGACTTGTTCTAAGATCAAGCGTACCATATGGAGGTTATCCTGAATAGTCCCGCCCTTCACAGCACAAGTCTTGTCGGAGCCAATCAGACTAGACAGGACAAGCTGCAAACGGTTGGCTAAGATCTTCGCCAAAATCTTTAACTCTGTGTTTAACATGGTTAAAGTGCGAAAGTTATCTAACCCATCCCCATCGTTCTTGTCCTTACGCAGCAACTTGATCACACTCCTGGTGAAGCGTTGAGGTATAGACCCCTACTTCATCCAGTTGTTGAAAATCAGTTCCAGCAAAGGAACAAAAACGGGCGACTGCCTCAAGTAAACTTCGTGGGGAAGACTATCTAGTCCGGGAGATTTATCCAGGTCAGCCTGTTTCAGCGCTTCCCAGATTTCCGACTCTGTGATGGGACCCTCGCACCCAGCCGCTTCAGCTGCCTCGAGGCAGGGAAAGCCGGCTAAATAGGCGTAGAAATGAGCAGGGCTCAGACCGGGCTCCCTGTGAAAAGTTCCTGAAAGTAATCCCGAAAGGCCTCGCATATGCCCGCGTTTGTAGTCACGATCCGCTTATCCGGCAATGTGACGCACGCGATATGTCGCCGAGACGTGCTCCGATTTCCCTCTGCATGCAATTCAGCGGACATATTCGTCGCCTCAGAGGACATTCTTTTTAACCAAGCCCTAACTACCAGAGCTTGATCCTTTTTGATAAGCAAGGAGGACAACTCTGCCTTAGCTAAGGCTATTTCCCCACTATCACGGGATTTCACTGCCCGATCAACTTTTTGTTCTAAAGCCATTTGCGCCGCTTAATCTATCTAGATTGAGTCGAATGCTAAAATCAGTAGCAAACGTCCTAATTTTGGATTTTAAATTATCCCACCAGACCTTCCCTACAACTGCCACCGTCAATTCCCTCTGTATCATTATTATCAGCTGGTCTCGGAAATCCTGCTCACCAAGTAATAAATAGTTTAATTTCCAGTAGCCAGCCAACCTAATCTTAGGCTTATCTAAGTTTACACGGACCCGGACAAACTTGTGATCCGAATAAACTATATAATGGAAACTTGGACACCCTAAGAGCCCTACATCGACTCTCTTAACTAAGACTCGGTCGAG